ATCGCTACTAGGAGCAAGGACGCTACGAACGGAACAAAGGGCATCGCAACACGAAAGAACTTCATCTCAGAGTCTTTAGGCTTTTTCAACCCGCCGCTTGTCACGCTTGCCATCTCAGGCCTAATCGGCAGCTTGGAGCAGGCCCTGTCCCCTTTGAGGTTGACAGGGCCTGAAGGAGATTGATGGCACACTTTGGCACCATCACGGTCTCCTAGATCAGGCATGCCCAGTGCCCCTTCACAAATGTTGATTGGTGATGTATGCATGCACAGTTGAGATGATGAGTTCTTGTACCCGCTCAAGTCACAGAGGGAAGGCGTTGAAATCATGGGCTTTGTAAGCTGGCCTGCCGTGCTGTGCAATGTTTGTAAGGGGCTGGTGAAGCTATGCTTGCTACCATAACCTCATCTATGTCAAAATGATGTCACATGCCCACCGCTTGTCTACGCCTCTCGGTCAGAGACCACATTTTGGCAAATCAAACGCCTTCCATCATTCTTTTGGCCTGGCCAAAGAGGCCAAAAACCATCAAACTGTAGAGTCATTTCAGAGTCATTCAAGCACTGTCAGCGCACAATGTTGGCTTCCCGCCGGCCTTCTTCAGGAGCATTAAAATACACATCATTGTCAGGCACACGGAAAATGCAGCCAGGTGGATCTGCCCTGAGCTTATTTTTGTGAGGATGCTGTGGCAGAGTCCCAACAAGTACAGTACGTCCTCGCACCTTCGGCACAAATACACTTGTATACCAAGTCCATGTTCTCAAGATCAGTTTATCCAGAACAGGCGCTGCAGCTAGTGTCTCTCCAAGTCTCTCTTGGTACAGCTCGTCTGTGTAAGCCAACCTCTCTGAAGCAAATATGCCTTTAAAGCATACTACATGAAGCATGGTTGAAGCGATTCCACCTGGCAGCATGCCCTGCTGCTTGCTGCAATGACAAGGTATCAGGAAGGCAGCCGCAGGTGCGAACCACAAAGCAATGCTTGATTGAACTGCAAGCAAGAGGCTTCTTGTTCAACTTGTTGGCTGCATCTTGACATTGGTCTACCTCACGTCAACGCCTCTAACCAGTTGACTGTGCCATTGCCACTGCAGAAAAAAATCACAAAGGTTGACCCTACCATAGTAATTTTAGCCGGGCGGGGTGCACATGTTGCCTTCAAAAAGCCAGGCCTCTGAGCTTCTTGATGATACTTTTGGACTTTTAGAAAATAAAATTAACACAAACAAGAAAACAGGTAGATCAGGGAAGGGCACCACATATATATATATATATACAAATATCCTTGACATGTATGCGCATATAAATATAAATAATCATATAGATAAATAGATAGATAGATAGATAGATAGATAGGTAGATAGATAGATAGACAGACAGATAGATAGATAGATAGGTATAACATTAAATTATATAGCTCTAGAATCTAGTATCATTCAACAATCTTCCAACAATCCTGCTGAGCTCGATCATTCCAGTCAGTCACAGGCACGGAGTCTAACTTCTTTGTCTCGGCAGGGCAAGTAAGGGTGGCATCATCCAGAAGCGTGTAACTGGCCTTATGAAGGTCAATAGGTCTGAACTGCTGTATGCACTAAATATGTAAGTGATTTTTGGGTACCTCTTCAAAGGGCATATTTTGAGAACTGCTTGTGACTCGGTTTTGTACAGTAATGTGGACCCTGTTTATAGAGGCCGTCAAAATTCAAAAGCAGTGACCCGAAGGTCATTGAGACAGCAACTCCTTTAAATGCTAAGGTCACAGCCAATGGGTCAACGGGAGCGGCAGTAGGCTGCCAAGAGTCGGCACCTGGAAAACAAAGAAAACAATAACAACCCTCGTGCACAAAGCAACCAAGACCAATGCCTATCTCTCTACAAAGGGAAAGACAGCCAAAACAGGATCATAGGAATCCTGTAAGACAGCAACCAACCTCTCCCACGCATGGCGCCAGGAACACAAAGCCATGGTAAATCACCTCAAGAGTTTTCCAGGTAGAAGATTGCGAAGTCGAAGCACACTTGCAGATTAGACACCCACAACATGTTCAAGATTTTTGAAGACACTGAACTGTGGTCGTATGTGGCCGTAAAGTATTGACAAGCTTGAAAACCCCTCAGTGTGAACAATCACAAAAGTACCTCCCAAGAAACGAGGGGAAAGGAGCTGCAGTCCTGGTTATGCTGATTGCTTCCTAGCCGCAGGGTTTCGTCTGCATTTCTGGATGATGCCTGCCGGAAGGGTAAGGAACGGCAAAACAAGAGAGCCATCCCAGCACTTCGACTGTGGAATTGATTATCAGTGGTTGAAGTTGAGGTATCCCCACCCGGGGCTTGTTGCACTTGTTGCCACCTCTCCTTCCCACAAGTCTCCTACGGCTGTTGGAGCTCCAGGCCTTTGCAGCAGCTTCTCAGAGAGATGAAAAGGAATACTATTTGTGCATCTGGCCTTGGTGAACAAGCTTCACCGCTTTGAAGTCGATCCAATCATGCAATCTTCCCGACAAAAACACCTCTCAAAAACTCAATGTGCGACTGAATCGTGCCCCTGCACCGGCAGCACAAAGCCCAACAGGCACTGTGCCGTTCAGGCAAGTTGCGGAGCCCCAAAGCTCCAAATAGCGGCTGTGATTGTAGCAAACTTGGCACACACTCGAAGAGTATGGCCCTGATGTCATCTCATACCTGAGAGGAGAAATACTGTAGATGCTTTTAGCACAGTTCTCTGCCTTGGCCTCATTGAGGCAACATGATGCAGCTGTGTTTGCTTAATCTGCACCAGGCACCCACCACTCTTGAACAACTTTGCATCCTGCAATGGTCAAAATACAGCACCACAAGCACCACAGAACATGTTCGTGCAGAACAAACATTGCGTAAGAATTTGAACGACGGCCGTGCAAATTCTCTATTCACTGGTCGAACAATCTTCCACAGCGCTATCCAAGGCCACTCAACAACTGACTCAAAACACATGACACACAGCGTGGCACAGCGTGGGCGTTGGGTCACAAATCCTGCTTGGCCAACTTTAGGTTGTAGGTCGGCTTGCCGCCCGGATAGCAGGAACAGTAGTGCTTGAAGGTTGCATCTCGAGCGCCCGTCAGCGGCTGATACTTATCTTTGTCCATCCTAAAACAAGGTTGGGTCTTAGGTGCAGTGCACAGCTTGAATCGAAACGGCAATTCTCAAACACTATGTAACCGTAACCGTGATGTTGCAAGCCTGATCTTTCGGAACCTGCCTCCACAGGATGCAGCTTTTCAGCCTCAAGAGTTCCTACTGGGAGATGCCAAAAAGCGGTGCCGTCAAGCTTCTGGGCGGCATCCTCCCATGGCTCAATTACCCATCCTCGCGCAGCAAAGGCGTACCTTGAAGCGACTGTTGTAGCATTTGCAGGGGGCCTCCAAACAAAACATTATCAACGTCTCCACCCAAGTGTAAGTGCTTGAAGCAAGTGTGGAAATACTAGCCCATTGCTCCGGCAAAAACAGCTTCAGGGCAACACAAAGCAACCTGCCAAGGTTCTGCAAAGCAAAGTCCGAAGAAAAAATCTCCTTGCTCAACTTCTCACCTGCGGGTGAGCAAAGTACAGAGCCGCAAATGGCAAAGAGCAGCATGGAGCTTCTACACCAGCGAAGGGAAAGGTCTATAATATATATATATATTTATAAAGAGAGAGAGAGAGAGGGAGAGAGATAGAGCTGGCAAATCTGGCAACCCCTTGGCCAAACTTTCACCACTTCCATCCGATGCGCCTAAGTAGTTCCAGTCCAGTTTCATCATGCTTTCATCGGAAAGAGCATCCTTGCATGTGCTCAAGTGCAAGCACACCCTCCACTCCCAAACAAAGCTAGTCTAGAGCATGAAAGTGGTGAACAAGCTAGCCAAGCTAGTCCCTCACAGTGTGTCAATCATCATGCAGAAACAGGCAAAGATTAGGAAATGCCTTATGCAGTGGTAAAGCCTGTGGCGTTCCATTAGGAACTCCTTTGGAGAAACCACTCGGAGTGCCAGGCACGGCTGAAATTCAGCTAACCTGAGGCTAACCTGGACAAAAGAGTCGCCCTTCGTTCTCTCCAGGGCAATGTCTCACCAAGCAACATGCATTGCTCCTTTAGGTTGCTTTGGGTTGGTACATGAACGTAGGGCGTGCCGCACCAACAAGGCACTCAAAAGCACACAGCAGTGCAAAGCTTGTCCTGGAAAGTCTTGAAATGTAAACAACTTCAGCCCGTCTGCCGCACAGTTTCTAACCGCAAAAACAGAACATTGCAAGAGCTTCCTTCCTCTTCGCGACCCAATGTGCAAAGGCAACAGGACTAGGGTGGAGTTCAAAAGGGGGGGTTGGGAGGCCCTCCCGAAGCCTGATTTCTCAGGGGCTAGGTCACAGGTCTTCAAACATCTTCTGCTAAAGCAATCAAACTCCAGCTAGCTTCACCAGCTTTCGCGAATGCACCAGTGGGAGCAAAAGGTTGCATGAACATGGCTTCTGAAGGATTGTTTGGGTGAGATCAACTGGCCCTGCGTCGGAGCTTCAAGGATGGCTTCTCGCTTGAAATAGGCTCCACCACAAAGTCCCGAAGACATGCTCCGCCTCTGTGGCTTCTGTTTGGGGCACAGGACAACTGATACAATTATATAATTGTTTTGTTATCAGAATCCAGCGAACTTGGTGCTCCAACGATGTCCATTTGAAGTTGGGAACACGTTGCTTTGCCATCCTTTCCTCAGTGGTTCTAGACTTGACTTTGGAGTGTCAGTGTCTTGCCAAAAAGGACGCGATGTCTTGTCAACACATTTCAATGGTCCAGCCGTGCATAAAAGCTCTTGCTCAACTCGCTCACACATTGCATGTGCTGAACCGAAATTTCTAGCCCAGCTTCCACGTACTTCACCAGTCCAAATTGGCGACTGGTCCTGGATTCAGTGCAGGAACATGACAGTGAAAATTGATCCAATTCCCTCACTTGCTTCATGCAGTCAGTGTGCACTAGCAAACCACCCACATCTGCAGGTGGAGGCCGCTTGACATAGCTGTGCCTGAAGAGGACAGCAATTGCATAAAAACATCTCCAAACCCTGGTGGCAAGGAAGCATATCAGTGTACACTCACGCTGCTTCGCCCCGTCCAAGCGTTTCTTTCAAGAAAAGATGTGTATATATATATATGTATATCAGATCGTTGTATTGGATTTAATTGCTGCTTGCCAATCTTTGCTACGCTTGATGCTGCAAGTGCTGAGCATTCCCGAATCAGCAAGAGTGGTTTGTCTTCCAGGATTTCTGCCGTACTGCACGTGCCACCACAAGCTCCGTTTTTGGGGGTGCCTCACTTCAATTGAATTGTTGGAAGTTCCCGTTCCAACTGCTACGAGTGCCATTTCCGACTTAATCTCCAACCCTATATAACTATAACTGTGCATATACAATAATGTCCACCGTCATGGGCTGGCTTGCTCATCAAAGGAGCACAGTGTTGTCCGGTTCCAGCATAATGATGTACTTTGTGTTCAAACCTCGGGTAGAGCTGGATCCAATCGCTGGAAGCACGCGCAGTCTAACAAACTCTCACTGCAGTTACTAGTAGGCTCACTAAGCCTGACTCAAGCTGGACTGAGGTGAAAGCTCACAGCTGCATCGTACAAGCGCCGAAAGAAGGGCCATGGATGCCAGCGATCGTTCCTTGGGACACTCCGCGAGGGCGTTCCATTCCTTGCTCCTAGTAGCGATGCCAGGAGCCCCGTTCGTAGCTTCTTGTTACTAGTACGGCCAGGAGCCCCTAGTGCTCCTAGTAGCGAACTTGTTCAGAAACAGGTTCCACGTAGTTTCAGAATGTTGCAATGCTGTGTTGATGGTGATTGCGTGTTGCCGTTCCGGTGGATGGTTTTCTCTGATTGTGGTTTTCACCCGGAACCTCTGCAAGGTCTCTTCTGCATGGGGTGAAGAACTGCAGGTCCCTGAAATTCAAAAGGAAACTGTCCATTTCGTGGGTTAAGAAGTGTTCAAAGGGTGGTGTGCTGATTCTGTACCAGAGTGGACGGAAAGACGGACACACTATGTTACAGCACATTCACAGATTGCTTATTCCTCTTCATCCCTCGTATATCGCTCTTTGTCTGAAATTGTGAAAGGTTGCAACACTGGTAAATGCTAGCGCTAGCTAGCTATCATTGAATACAACCTGGCAGCCAGGGCTCGCTGGCGGACACAAAACGAAAGTGCACCCCTCCTGGCCATTGGCTGAACAGGAGTGCTAATTACTATGCCGCACGGTCGATGCCTACTGTGCGACCAGTTTGGAGCTGTGAAGACAATGCGAACGAAAGGCATCAACCTGTCGTCAACTGACAGGATCGCACCTTCTCGCACAAGGCACTGAAGTCGAGGCCTCCGTCGCTCATGACGTAAATCCTGAGTTCCGACTTGCTTCCGTGTACCTCTTGACTTCACACCGGCGTGGCACTGTAGGTCATCTCTTTCCACTACTCTCTCAGATGTGCATGTCTCCCAAATGCTGAGAAGACTTCTGAAGAGTGCAATCAAAGCCACGGAGACCTTGGAAAGAACTTCTTCACCTCACGGACCTTAGATGACTGAAAGTCAGAGACGAATCATGGGGTCTTAGAGTCTTACAGTTCAACACCTGCAATTTAACGGGATTGATTTAGGGTCGGGTACCTTCTTCATTGATAAGGGGTTCTCTGAAGAAACTCAAAACATAGGTGCCCAAAACGATCTTGCCGATCCTGCCCTCACCAATTCACCTGGCCTGATAAATCACTGCCGCAGGATCTCCATAGACATGCAAATAGAATCCGTACCTCTGGACATCGCAATCTCTGCAACCGGCCCAGTGCAGTTTCGATCAGAACCCGCAAGCTTTTCCTGACGGCGCGGCATTCTACTGCGTCGGACGAACAGGCACCATTGGCCTGCTTCAGCTTGGCTTGGCCAAGTGTTCGTTCAAAAATGCATTCAAAGCTTTCCGAACCTGACCCGGTTGTCCTCTAAAGACATGGCCAGCCACAGTGTGCTGTCACAAACGGCATCCAGGGATGCTAATGCTTGACTCATCAGGGAAGGTATCCAAGAGTTTTCACACGGCTGGCCATGCCACGAGAAGCAGTGAAGCGCTGCTAAGTCTTCCTGAGCACCTCAGCTTGCCACGCGCGCGCGCACACGCACACACACACACACACACACTTAGATGGTTGCTCGCAAGAGCCAGGATCGGAATGAAGCCCCCTTGACTTGAAGAAACTGAAAGGTACACAAACCGAAAGGTGAAGAAGTCCGTATAGTTGAAGGTGTTGAACAATTTGTTTGATTGCATTAGCCGCTTACTGCGAAACACAGGATTGGACAGCTTGTTCAACCGTTGAAAAAGAGTTAAAAGGCAGGTACACACTCAGGCGTCCCTGGATGCTTCCACCAGTCTTCCGTAGCTTCGTTGGGCAACGTAGGAAGACCGGTCGTTGCCCCCCTGCTGCTGCACAATGGAGAAGTGATAGAAGCTATTAGGAAGTGACGACGTCTCAAAACCTGCGGGTTATGGAGTATAAGAAGCCTTAGGAACAGGTGGTGACACACACACACACACACAGGGCCGTGGTCGGCGCTCGTTATCGATCAAAGTTTCAGGGTCCAGCTTCAGGGGTGACGAGGGTCAAAGCTCGGACTTTTTTCGTAGTGCTTGCTGCCGACATCTGTGAAAATCATGTCCTGTTTGGACGTAGAGATCTGCTAGCTGAGCGAGCGCTCGCTCGACTGCCGAGGACGGGTAGGTGTACTTTCGGATGAGATGTGCTCTGGAATGAAACCCTGAAAGTCGTAGGTGTGTGGAGCCAGCGGAAGCTTGATCGCGAAGTTTCCATGAGACGTTTGGGGAGATGTAGGTGATAGTACAACGGTCCACGTCGAAGCCAAGAAGATGCATATCGTCCACCGGTTCAAGTTCAACAGGGTTGCCGTAGAAGTCGGGGTGAACCAGGGTCTGAATGGCCATGTGGGTGAGGAAGGTGCGGTTGAAGGCGATGAAGCGGTTGTCCACGTAGCGGTAGTAGACGAAGTGGATCTCAGTGCGGTCCGTGAGGGAGTGGTGGAGTTGATGCCATGAATGTTCGATTAATGTGATGGCGTCATTGCACAGCGCGGGAGAGAGCTGAGAGCCAATCCCAGCTCCTCGAACCTGCAGGAAGTACATAGCACAGGCCTTGAAAATGCAAGAATCAAGAGCTAGTGCTACGATAGTAGTGACGTCGCTAGTGTCCAGGGTGCGTTGGGTAGGATGTCGGCGGCGGTGTCTGCCGATGTGGGCCAGTTGGATGGGATCGCCAGTTGTGTGTGTGTGTCAACTGTAATGGTGGGGGTGGCAAATGTATGCTGCCATCGGTTGACCAGGCTCTGAACAGGGTCCACCAGGCGATCTTGAGGAACCGAATTGAAGAACCCCACAAGGTCATCATTCACAGCGTAGAGATCGACGTGATCGGGCGGTGGAGGTACTCGTGGAAATGCCCCATAGCTGAGGTATCGATAACTGGCCTGGTGACTGAGGTAGGAGCCGGTAGGTCATGGTGTTGAGCACGTTGGATGTGACACGGAGCAGTGGTCCATAGTGGGATTTGTAGCAAGAGATAATGGTCCGCCCTTTCTTCCATTGCTTTTTGGCTTTCAAATGGACAACTCCAGAAGGCATGTTGAAGTTGTTGAGGAAGGCCCCACTTGTACTTTCTGCGCAGGTTGGCAGGGAAGGTCTGCTGGATGATCCGGGGAATGGTTTGGTCGGTATCGTCGGGAAGTGGTTGGAAAAGCTCCGGTGATTGCCACGTGGCCAAGCATCCTTGAAAGTAGATTCGAGGGCAGAAAATACGGAGGTGTTGTAGTTCGTGATCTGCATGGTGGAGGACCACTGTATCGCCAAGAAATTCTTGTAATTGTTTGAGGGATCTGGCGGTGAAGCGGTCTTCGTGTTGCAGGTGATGTGAGTGTTTGGTCCATTGGGTGGTGAGAAAGCGTCGGCGTGTTGGACCAGTGATGTTGGTAAGCCGTGGGGCCGTGATGCTTCAACCATTTTTTGAGGTTGTGTCGAAAAGTCTCCCAATAGCGACGTTTTGTGGGGAAAAACGTGCTGGTCATGCTGGCGTTGAGGAAACGACGCATGTGGCCGGGAAGCTGTAGATCTTCCAGTGTCACAATCAAATGTTCATCAGTGGGGGGCGTGTATGCGGGGGAAAGAAGTTGGCGGAGGTGGCTGCATCCGCATGGTAGTTGGTCTGCATGAGGAGGATGGTGAAAATGATCTTCCCACTTGCGGTGGTTGTGCAGGCGACTGCGTAGCGTGGAATGAGCAGCTTCTCGTAGCCGGCAGGTGGGGAGGTGGAGGGGGATTGCAAACTGCTTGTGTTGGTTGAGAAGTGAGGCGAGCCATCGATGAGTATCGGCTTGGAAGTCGGTGTGGGCCAGGAATGGGATGGTCAGGGGAAGGTTGCTCTTGGGCGGTGTGAGGTTGCGAGAATTCAATGCTTGGTTGATGAGGTGAATAGCTCGACTGCGTCCAGGTTCTTCAAGACTGGTGGCCATACGACGTATGCGGCATAGACCTCAAGGTCGCTGTAGCGGCCTGAGCGTAGGCGGCGCGCTGCTTCGAAGGAGGCCTGAGAGTGTTTGCTGAGGTCGCGCAGGACGCTGAGAGCATGGAGCTTGTGGGAGGTGCAAAGTATGGGTTGGTTCGTGGACTGCAACCGGCGGTGAAGGCGACGAAATAATCGGAAATGGTTGGCGAGGCGAGGGAAGAAATGAGCACGGTGTCTGCTGAACTGCCAACCCTCGGCCTTGAGGTAACGTAAGGCCGGTTGCCATTGGGATCATGGATCCAGGCCTGGTCGTAGTCGGGGTATACCGGTGGCAATATGGATGGTGGAATATGGAATATTGGGTGACGGTGTTGGTGGCATGTCAATATCGGAGGGAAAGTGCAGCTGAAATGGGTGTGTTCTTGGCCAATTGCTTGAGTTTGGCCCGTCGATTGTGTTCCCGGCCTGGGATGCCGATGGCTGTAGAGCCCACGTAGCAGTGGCCATGTTGATGGTAGCATCGTTGCGCATCGTAGGAGTTGAAGTAGAGTTTGATGTGGACTAATTTGGGCGAGAGAAAATGGGAGTACATATATAGGTGTCTGGGTGGATTCGGAGTTGGCTGAAGCGAGAACGCCATTGTTTGGAACGAAAGGTGGAGGAGGGAAAGTAAATAGAGCTGTAAGGTGGAGCATACCCAGGGCGTAAATGGCTTCGGCGCGATCAATGTAGCTGGCGTGGAGGATGTGCGCTAAAGCTTTGCGTAAGGCGCGTGTGTGGAAGTGTGGTGTGATTGGGTCCTCGGCGGCTCGTCCATGCGAGTCAACATGCTATGGCGGCCCCTGTGGCCACCAACTGCTGCAGGCTGCGGAGATTGATTTTGGTGACTTTGGTGAGCGGGATGCCGTAACGAACTGCAGCCTCTTGGAGCTGGGCTTCGGTGGTTCCGGATGATTGGAGAAGTTTCAGGATCTCGGTGGCCGAGTCTTGGATGGCTTCGTCGAACTGCTTGGACCAAGTGTTGATGTACTGGACGGACCATTTTGCAGGGACAGGTCGGGTAGCTTCTTTGTATGGAGCGGGCGGATGGCGCTTTTGTCGGCGGGGGCTGGTGCATGGCGCCGAATGGTGGTAAGGATAACGTCCATCAGTGGTTGCATAAAGGCTCTGGCATCGGTCGTCTTCGAGGGAGGAACGTTCCCGGCAGTGCGGTGCAGTGCTTCAGCTGTACCGTCCAAGTCGATGCGCTGCTCACGGATGCGCTGGATCAGGTGAGTCAAGTCGGAGGTGCCGTGGAACGCCAGCAACCTGGAAAAACCTGGAAGGTAGGAAGGCCTGCAATCTGACGATTGCGGCTCCGTGCCGAAGCTTGGATGCATTTGTGAAACCTGTTGTCCTCCAGACAGACATCCCAATGGTCGTCGGTTTGCTTGCAAGTGGTGGGGATGGGGGGTTCAGGAAAGGGGAAGAGCCCTGAGGATGGCGTGGTGGAGTGACCATGTCTGGTGTAGGTGAAGTGGGGGTGGAAGCAGGGGGAGGTGGGGGCGGTGGGAAGTCCTGCGTGGTGGCAGGATAGGGGCGCGATGCGGCTGAGGTCCACAAAGCTAATAGTAGTAGGGGTCCATACTGTCAGTGAGGCAAAGAATCAGGTGCTAGAAACACAAAAGGTATGTTGAATCGGATGAGCCAAACTTTCGGAAAAGGGAAAAGGACAACTCGCAGGGGTCGAAAGGGGAAGAACGTCCAATGTGAAGCAAGAATCACAGGGGGAAGTCAATGGGTGCATGCTGAAAAGAACCATGGCATAGGTCACGTATTCAGGAAGAAAAGGGTGAGCTCTGGCTGCATGAATGGCAAATCACAACTTTTTCCGCCGGAAGATGGTAGCTCGGCCAATCATTGGGCGTTCCTAGGATCCGGCCAACGCAGAATGACTTGGCGGGTCCACTCAGGCGCTGGCAAGGGAGTTGGAGTCGACGTAGATGGTGCGGACGATGTGGCTGTCACCGTCACGGTAGAGGACGGCGCCCCTTGGGGCACCGGTGGATCTTCAGGTGTCCTCCACGGATCAGCATCCGGATCGTAGTCTGGTACAATGTGAATGCCCCGCGCCGCGATGTCCATGTATGTTGAATGCGTTGGCGCATCTGGGTGGCCATATCGGAGCGGTTGACTGCCATGTGAGTGGTGCGTTGGTATTGGGAGTGAGCGATGAGAGTTTGGGTAGCGTGGTGAGGCGCCGATGGGTGCCTCTGAGAGCCTGGCAGGGGCGGAAGCTGGCGGAGGATCTGCTCGGTACTGTCTGGAGGGTGGTCGCCGGCCGCAGCTGGGGTGGAATCGGACTGGGAGAGGCTGGACGGCCGCTATGGCGAATCGCTTGCGCCAGCGGCGGTGTCGATTGGTGAACATAGCTCCTCGGATCGGGTGTGTCATCGGATTGAAGTAAGTTGGCCGGGACATGAATAGTGGACGTACGGGGAACTAGTCCCGGCACATCGGAAACCTGGTATGGGCGGTGTGGAGATCTGGAATCGGTGGCTGCTTATTGGGAGTGGTCGCTGATGGAGTAGGCAAGTCCACGCGGGCAGGGGGTCCTCAGTGTCGCCACTCGTAGGAGCTGTTGTGGGGTCGGAGGTATTGACTGTTGGGGGAGTGATTGTATCGGGGTGGGGGAGGGTGGATGTTGGTGCAGTGGTAGTGTCAGGATTGGGAAGGGGTGATGTGGGTGGCTGGTCTAAGGGCGCGACTGTGGCGTCAATGGTGGTGGACTGGGGGTCGGATGTTGAGATGGGTCTGTCGTATCGGGTTGGGCCACGGAAGGGTCCACAATGAGATTTCCCTTTCCCTTTGGCCTTGCCCTTGGGTAGAATGGCTCCATGGTGCTGAAGCTGGCCAGAGAACCTGTGTAATGTTCTGGATGGGCATCGACGATGTTGTCCACATGGGTATAGGCCTGGTGAAGGTGCTCGTAAGCGATTTCTGCTTGTCGGCGGAGGTTGTTGATATGATACCCAAGAGAAGGTGGGAGATCCTGAGTGATGGAGTCATGCCACAGTCATGCCATAGAGCGGTTTCTCGAAGCTGATTCAGTATCTCCGGACGCCGATGCCAGAACTGCCATCAAATGACCTTCGCGATGTTCGAGAGCATAGATCCAAACCGGTGATCGGCGAGCTGGTGAAGGATCAAAGGCTGAGCAAAGTATCCGAATATTTGAGCCAACTTGAAAGCAAAAGAAGCAAGTGACGTGTCTGAGGGTACAGGGTTATACATGGTGGTGTGGGGTAAGGGGGTCCGAAGAGATGGGATGGAAAACGCTCAGGGCGACTGTTCGAAGCAAGGGAGCGGCGGTGGGCAAAGGAATATTTTACGGCAAGTGGTGCGGTAAGCAGGTGTGGGGTGAGACTTACGAAAAGGGCCGAATTTCGTATCTACATGGAAAAACGACTAGAGAGATGCGGAGCTGCTGGCAAGCATCGTCGTGTAGGCGCGCTGGGGCTGTCCAGTTTCGTGCGTTGAGCTCCGGGTCGCGGTAAGGCATAGAACCAGGTTGACCGATACGGCGAGGGTGTTCAATATCGTGACCGGAAGGTCTGGCTTGGCGGACATTCACGTAGTAGAAGACGAGGTCCTCGAGAGAAAGAGTGTAGGGCACCTGGTGGACGGCGTGGTCAGCCAAGGCTTGTGTGCCCAGCCAGAAACTTGAGCGCGGTGAACCAGTCCTGGAGTAGATAACGTCTTTGAGATCGTCGACGCTGTAGGGTGTCTCCTCGATGCGACTGATGGGGAGCGTCACGGTGATGATGCTGAGTGATGCGTGCATCAACAGGCGGAGGTCCAGTTCGAAGCGCGCCGAAATCAAATGAGGTACATGTGAAAGTTCTTGATAAGGGTGTCGTAGAGCATCCGGATCGGCGTGAATCCGCTGGCGTGCACCTCAGGTGGGTGGCAGTCATGAAAATGACATAACAAGGCAACAAGATTTGAGCCAAGGGCTGACTGCGAGCTTGTAGGAGGGTTATATAGGGGTCATAGGGGTTGGTGTGATGTGAAAGGGGGGCTCTGTGGGGATGGGAGCAGCATGAAGCAGAGGCTGCACTGTTTTGCGACAGAAGGGAAAGGTCGGTTGCACAGCAGGAACTTGGATCAAAGTGAAGGATCGTCAATATCCTCTGGTCGAAGTCCGCATCGGTCTGAGGGAGCATATGGCGTAGTCACTTGGTGAGATAAACTGGGTGTAGCCTGCGACATTGAGGCTGAGGCCGATTGCATGGGGGACAAAGAGGCATGATAGGGGTGTTCTGGCCGATGTGGAGAAGGCTGGAGCTGGTGGATCGTGGAACGAATGAGTTGCTGCTGATCCTGAGGTGTCAAAGTTTGTAAAAGAGTTGCGCCATCAATGTTCATAGACAGCGTGCGTTGCACAACGGAGGTGACCAGCCCGTTGAAAATGTCCTCGTCAACGGATGTGTCGGGCGGGCGCTTCATGCCGCGAGGTTCATGGGATTGTCAGAGAGAGGCTTCTTCCCGCAGTTGGCGTTGACGTTCACACAAGTCCCATATTGATGGATGTTGTAGCGGTGAGGACGAGCTGCCAGCCATGTGTCGACCATACCCGATAGTTTTGCGGCCATAGTCCTAGGGATGAAGGGCCGGTAGAGGTCCACGTACACGTAGGTATTGGGCTGGCCACGGCGGTCGGAGAGGAGATGGGCCGCTAGGTTGCCAGAATGAGTCCATTGGCGAAAGAACCAAAGTTTTTGGTCACCAAGCCATCGAGAGCACCATTTGTCCCAAGGTTTAGAGTCTTTGCGGTATGTCCCAAACAGGTGGCGCTGAAACCATCCTCCTCTTCCGAGTAGGTCTGCTCTGTGGGTGAGGTAGGCTGGGGAGGCATTGACCAAGTCCCCCGTTGTGGTCCGATGGGGTCCGCGGCTGCATGCGATGCGGGCGAGGGAGAGGTCGCGCCGTCCATTGGAGCAGCGTCAGCCGACATGATCGGTGCAGCAGAATAACTGGGTAAGCAGGCATAAAAGGATACGTTGACTGCAAACAGCTGCGGGAAGAAACCCCTTGAAAAGGAACCGGTGGGTTGCTGGGTGGTTATGACCCGGGGTGCAGACTGGTGAGGAGGGGAAAAATATAGTGCGGAGCACAAGCGATGATTTTTGATCTGGCCAAAGTAGAGATAGGGTGAAACATTTGCATTGTTTTCATTAGCAGCCTGTGCAGGAATCGCTTGTGGCCAAATGTGGGAATGAGATGGTGGTGTGACAAGCATGGCTGGTGAGCCCCAAGTGGAATTGGGGTCGGGCGATGGAATGGGGTGAGTCGAAGTGGGTATGGATGGAATCGTAGGTTGGAGCTGAACAATGTGGGCGGTTGGCATAGGCCCAAGCTGAGGTGTCAAACTGGTAGGTGGCAAAGTCGATGTGTAGTGAATAGGTGGATGTGTCATGTGTGGTTGAAGCTGTCGGACTTGAAACTGCAGCGTCGGCATCGATCCATAAGGAGCCGAAGGAGCCGTCAATGATGTAGCTGGAGGAAGAGGCCCGTAAGATGCCGTAGGGGTCGTCATCGATGGAACCTGATGAGGAGGGATCCACTGGTAGTTCATGGCGGGCCGGTAGAGAGCAGGAAGGCAGGCTGAGTGATGCATACGTTGACATGTCTGAGTCCTAAGCCTCGCCTGTAATTACGTAGACGTGCAGACTGTACAGGTGAATACTTAGACGCATGCATGAAAAGTGCAAATCCGGACTGGATCGTAAGTCTTAGTGAGCCCTGCGGCGTGATATCATTGGTATCGAGCATAACGGAGAATCAGTGGGATTGCAAAGCGAGGTTCCGGAGCAAAGACGAAGACTGCAAGATGGGTTCCCCAGGATCTGGGTCTATGCACATGCAGCGCCCCTCGACGGGGATCACACCACAGCCCTCAGTGGGACTCTGTGGCGAAACACACTTAGATGGTTGCTCGCAAGAGCTAGGATCGGAATGAAGTCCCCCTTGACTTGAAGAAACTGAAAGGTGCACAAACCGAAAGGTGAAGAAGTCCGTATAGTTGAAGGTGTTGAACAATTTGTTTGATTGCATTAGCCGCTTACTGCGAAACACAGGATTGGACAGCTTGTTCAACCGTTGAAAAGAGTTAAAAGGCAGGTAGCGTCCCTGAATGCTTCCACCAGTCTTCCGTAGCTTCGTTGGGCAACGTAGGAAGACCGGTCGTTGCCCCCTGCTGCTGTACAATGGAGAAGTGATAGAAGCTGTTAGGAAGTGACGACGTCTCAAAACCTGCGGGTTATGGAGTATAAGATGCCTTCGGAACAGGTGGTGACACACACACACACATATACCTCATGTATATAAGGAGGTTTCGATAATTGTGGTTCTTTCATGGGTTTGGTCTTTTCAGTTTTGGTGATGTAAGATTGGCCTTGGACTGCCTAAAGGAATCACAGGCTCAAGGGTTCAGGAAACCGGTTGTGGGGTGTCATGAAGCGCCCGGCGTCAAAGAAGCCTGCAGCTGCAAACAGAAAGAGACCAGCATTAAGGACTGTATATATGCATACGCATGTGCTACAATACGCTAGCCGGTGTGCACAGTTCGCTCAGCCGCTGCAAATAGGAACTGCTCATAGGCACTACATGGATCTACATGGCGCCATCTTTCCCAAGTTTGGTCAGGAAGGGCAGTACACCAGCTAGCACGGAGTAGTACAAATAAAGAACCTGGTGGATGGTGCTGTGCTGCATGCCTTATCTGGGAGTACAAGCGATTACCGACAGCGGTACAATGAACTTACAGTACATGAATGTTCTTCTAGTCTAAAGCCAATCTTTGTGGTGTGACTTTTGTGTACGACCTGCGTTCTGGTCCAAGTTGCTGGACTGCCTCTCAAGGTATGCCTGGAGGCATCTCTGTCTCAAGGGTCAGGATCCCACAACGGCCCAACTCCGTTGTGCAGCCGCTGTGAGAGCCGGTTCGGTCTCGGCCCATCTGTGGGAGGGGAGCTCATTGAGATTCTCGAGACCCTGACCAGGAGTCAGGTTCTCAAGCCGTGTTTCCTGGGGTTGGCGACCCTGTAATTGTATATAGCCCCACCTACTTGAGAATCAAAGTCAGGCATGTAAGTCACTGCGATCACATCTGAGAGAGTTTGGCCCCGCCTCCGGGAAGTGTTTTGACTCCGACTCACTTGACGCGAGTAGGTGCTGCCCTGACTGTCTCGGATGTTGGCAAGACTTGTCGTAGAGCAACTTGATGGGTATCTCAAAGGGAAAGCATCATTCAACTCCAGCAAAAAGAAGGGAGAAACTATGCTCTAAATGAGTCTTAGGTGCATGCGGACATCTGCCGCAGTGTTCGTGAAGGGTTTATGGTGCATTGACCGAACTTCCAGGAGCCTTCACTCTTTGGACTTTAGAAGCTAGCAAAGGAAGCCACCAAAAGGGACAAACATTAGCTCATTAGCTGTAATTCATGTGGCTTTCTGCTTGACATGCCACCTCTCGCCACCAAATACAATTTGGTGGCGAGTTTTAGCATGGGCAAACTTGCTCCGGCAACTGCTTCCGGTCATGGCGCAAAGTGTAGGGTTCCAAGATGTTGCACGAATGCGCCCAACGGGCCTAGCCTGTCGACTTTATCGACGGAACTCACTACATTCCAGCTTGTCATGTTGTAGTTGCCAAAGCGCTCCTGAGAAGCCCAGCCAACAATCGATTAAACAATCAGCAAAAATAATGTGGTTGGGCCTCTTCAAAAATGGCCTCAACACACTAGTTCATTCCTTCTCTTTTTTGGCTTGGCACGTTGTTGCTGCACGCCTTTCGCATCTTTGACACCTTCTGAGGGTATTGATTCTGGCTACAAACCTAACCGTGTCGCCATGTCCTGCAAAACGGCCTCTGCCTTTGCCATAGATTGCCGCATGGCTCTGTCAGCGGACACCGTCAGAGATGCTTCGAAGTGTGTCTGAAATGCCTGGAGCTGTGCGCCGAAACTTGAGCAACAACGACAACGACGACAACAACAACAAAGGAAAAAACAAATGCACCAAGAATGAAGCCACGACCAGAAAATGCAAGACAACCCGATTTCTGAGCACTGAATTTAGAGACGGATGTTTTATGGGGCCAACGAACCAGTTCACATGCAACAATCATGCCAGCTTTCAGGGACAGGATGCTTCAGGTCAAGATTCTTGTCAGGTCAATAAATGCGCAAACTTGACAAAGAGTCAAAGGTTACCACCAGGCACCCGCGCATGACCACGTTCTTGAAATAACTATATAGTTAGTAATGTTTCTATTTGTAAATATACAACTAGTTTGCGTTCCTTCCCCGACATTGACGATTTCGGAACCTGCATGGCTTGCGAGAGCGCAGTGTGCACCTGAGAATAAGCGGCACAAGCTTCGCTTCACACCCGGTGCGTGAACGATCATGAATGATGAGCATGCTCAAGACTCCATCTCAAATTGCACCAGGCTTCATAAACAGCCACGAACTTCCACTTTAAAAGTAGTGTGTGTGTGTGTCGAAATGTATTCAATAAATATTCACGAGGCATCCATTTCTACCCGAAGCCAGTTGCTCGCCTCATCTTCCCATCGCTTGTGGGTCACTCGGTCCCAAAAGCCGGCGAGGGATGTGATGCTGCCTTGCCGAAGTTGGATGACAAGCTTTGCTGAAGACTATATAGGTCCGTGGTCCGCACCGGTGAGGCGTTGGCTTGGTGCATATGTAATGTAATCTAAAGTAACATTACTTCAGGCAAACAAAAGTTTATGTTTGCCAGCCGTCTTCTAAGAACACTCTGAGGTCAGCGGCGGGTCCAATTAAAAAGTTCGATTTTCGTGGCAGGTGTGGGACAGTCAATTATCACACCGTTTTAAATGTTCAATGATAACAGGCTTTCCGGGGTCAGACATGACCGCCCACACCATCCCTTGTCAGATTGCGTTGGGTTCTAGGGGGATAGGGCTGTGATGAGTTTCACCGTGAAGAAGCGCAACTTTCATCTGGCCAGTGTATGCTCCAATATGTACAGTACAGGAGCGTGTCCAAGGTGTTTGGCGGCAACAGGCTCCATGCACAATGGTTGCGCATTGCCCGTGCAGAAATGAGCTGCGTCCAAAGCCCCGGATAAATTCCCTATACCCACCCAGCTCATTTTGACATGTTTTGACCATGGCTTTAAGTCCGACATGTTCGACCCAATGGCCCTGGATGTCGGTGTTATGTAGAGACCATGATGATCGGCTTCACAACATGTTCATCAACCTTGCAACATGATGAGTTCTTGGCGTGACGAAAGAATATTATCTGGGGGTTGTTGGGGGGGCTGGGCTGGCTTCGTTCATGTGATTATAAAGTAGAACACGATGGTGGTGAGTTGTTGCTGTGGCGACAGCAGATTCTAGGGGCGAGGTCGGGGGGGCTGACACAGAGTGCAATTGCAGTGGGGCTCCCTTGGCAACACACTGTCTCCACCCGACGCACGCAGAAGACAAGTGCCATGGCGCGCGCAAGCAAGCGGTTGTTTCTCTCAGGTTTTGCCAGAAACATGTCAGTCAGTCATTGTCATTGTACAGCGAAGAGTGAGACTAGACAGGGGTCAAGTAGTCACCACAAGGAAACACAAGACAAACACCATTTTCCGAACACCTGTGCATGAAATTGCCTTGGTCGATATTCTGAAACGGTCTCACATGCTCTGTGTTACAACAACCCCGAAGGGCTGTCGAAAGAGCTGTGAAAACGCAGGAAAAAGGGGTGCGAGTTTTGCGGCATCGTTCCTATATTTTTCCTATAGTTTTAACTTTTCCGGAAAATGACACGCAGAACGAGACGGTGAATTACAACAAAACATCTCAATTCTCCCACAAAAACACAGGGTACTTTAGGAAACAAAGTCAGGATCCGTGCATTTATCACACCCACTGACCATGTGGTGTTTTTACAGGTTTTTGTAGTCTTGGTCACTTGCTCATGTTAACAAAAAGTGCACACAACTACACGTTCAGTTTCCGACCCGGCAGCATGTTTATGTAACCTTATCGTTCAAGGGTTTTCGCTAAGAATGCCAATGGTTCCTACCAGTCGGTATTGGCCAAGCTTTCTCAAGGAGCCCAGGTGCTTGTACGCTGGTCTCTGCTTGGATCAGGAACTCGACTCGGCTCTGGCAATTCGGTTGAAGAATCTTGAGGCGGATGATCGGGCAGCTGCACCTGTGAATGACCCAGCAAGAATGTACAAGATGGAAAGCTCGTTCGGTTCCCTCCATAAGATTTAAGATAGTACCCCTTTTCCAGCTTGGAAACCAATGCACCTGACTAGAACCACGTCTTTCTGTTCTGCTAAGTTGGTTCCTCGCCTCTTCTTCACGCCGCATCCGGTCCAGGAAGCCAGACGCTGACATGGGACCTTGACTTTGGGAATTGGTGTGAAAGTGACCACCGTGCGGGCCAGCATTCATGATCTTGAAAAGGTGCAGGCCACTAACTACCCTCCGCGGCAATCAATGCTTGCATAGCTGTTGAAGGTGCCTGCTTTCTAAAAACAGGTTTGGCACTCGCGACTTTGTCGCTGGATGACGTCAGATTGTGTCACACCCCGTTGCCACTATCAGCACAAGTACCAAATACAGCATACACCGCCCAAAAATACTGGATGATTTATATACACATTATGCACTGTTGGGGGTCAAAATAATTGAAACAGTGAAACAACTTTTCCCGTAGTGGCTGTGGTTTCGAGCCAAACTAGTTGAACACATCTGGTTTGATGCTAAGGTGCTTGGATCGCGAGATCTGCTGTTCTTGCGTTGATCTCGATATCGCGACGGCTCCGACTCTGTTGGAGAGTCTATTGCACCAGGTTTCTCCAAGTCTTTCCTTTTTGATTGGAGCGGTTTGGACCTCAAGGTGACAACAAAAGAACAACTCGCCCTACAGTCGCACACAGTGCCTGTAGGCTCAACAGGTAAGCCTTTTGGATCTCCCTTTTTTCCCCCAACACATGCGTTGAATGAAAAAGAATACCAAGTAGAAGCAGAAAATCAAAAGGTTCCATTTTCATCCAGCTTCTGGGATCTTTGCGGCTGCTCTATTGCACCCACCATTTCTGGTGTCCAGTCATGCTCCTCCTGACCCACAAAAATTGCAACTTCCCAGTGAAATGTAATATCAGGACCCCTGCTGAACCAGTGGTGGATGCATGAGGACCCATGCACGCACTCACACAGTGGTAAGAACATCTATTCACTAAGACTAAAAGTAAGTAGAGACATCTCTCTCATTGACCACCACCCCTCCAATCATTTCAGCAAGCGCTGCTATCCAAATGGTTGAAGGTTGCAGGTACAGCCTGGCACTAAACCTCCATGGGTTGTCGCAAACATATGCGTGTATTGTAAATGCAGTGTCTATAAACGAGCAGGTATACATTTATATATACATCTTTGTTATATATTACTACATATACATATGCGTGTCGGTGTGTGTGTGTGTGCGTGTGTCTGTGTCATATAAATATAGTCACCTCATCTTCCCCCCTACGAGTAGAATCCAGAAATGAGCCATTCGTCGGGCATTACGCACCTGAAACAAAGAGTTTGAACATGCCCCCGCCTCTGGCTCATAATCTTGCCTTACGAAGAGACTGCACAATGCCAAAGCCGTTACACATTCAGTGGGTCACACCCACAAATCGACTTGACATTTGCACCCGCCCAACATCGCCCAACCCTACGCTGTCCTCAACTGTTTCCAAGCAGGAGGTTTGCCTTCTATGCTGTCCATCAGGCTGTCCATCAGGCACTTCAATACTTGCCTGGACGAGACGGTCCAAAAATTACTTTAGATGCCATAGTGCCTCAGGAGAGAAGAAAATTGCTTGTTTTGACAGCCGTGTCAGACGTCCAATCACTATTATAAGCTTCTTTGCTCGAAGAAAACCTGTTCCTATATTACCTCCATGCAATTCATGTTTCCAAATGGAGGTGAGGATTTATGATCTGGCTTGTTTGAGGGAGTCCCCTGGCTTGGTACCAGTATTCAGTCACGTAAATAGCCTCAAACCGATCCGCATGATCCACGTGCATGTCAGGAACTCCGATAAACAGTAAACAACCGGCGGTTCTTTCGTAGCCAAATCGCGGTCTCCTATTCAGCCTCTCACCCGATGCGCCTCAGCCTCAACCAGTTCGTGGTGTTTGGCCTGTTTGGCTGCGCTCTCATCGCACTCGAAGAACTCGTCTGATGCATAACCTGTGGATCTGGCACCAAAGCGCTCTTGCAAACTGTCCAGCCGTTGAGCGAGTTGAGAATAGTGGAACTGAGATAGCCTGATCATCTCCTGCAAACACGTCGAGACACTGCAATTCTGTCCTAGACATGGTTGAAATTGCTATTGAAGTGTTTCTAGGCTTCTGCAGATATGTGTTGATGAAGATGTATTCAGCACATTCAATTTGAACCAAACCAAGAGACAAAACAGGGAGCGAGAGGAACACAAAGCGAGTTGCGCTGCGTTGCTACGTATAAGTTATATAACGCAGTGGGGGTTGGTGACAGTGCTGTCGTGCCAGGGCCGTTGAAGGAAATTGTTGACACTGCATCTACAAGAACAACATCAGAACCATGTCCAACCCCATTGTTTGGACCCATTCCCACCAACAAACTGAATCCAAACGATCTGAGTCTGGGTTATGAGAAATCCTCCTGCATATTGAGAGCTTGCATCATGTTATACTTGATGAAGCCTGGAGGCACCAAGGAGGAATGTCCAAATGATCGCACGCAACAAAACCAAAACGATGTTTTACGTGCCAAGCAAAATCATGCAAAGCTGGCAAACCGGTTCTGTCAAGCGGCGCGGTGCTGTCTTCGACTCGTGAACCCATCCTCAGCAACCATTCCCCCCTTCCCTGGCCAACAGTCACTCGTCAAAGCCATTCACCACTTCCGGGGGTCTTCACCATGTTTCGATCTACTGCAATTTTGTTGTTGCTGGGTGGATGTGGGTAAACAATGCTCACCTTCTGGTGAGCTGGGATCTTTTGCAAAAGTATGTGGGAACTCTTGGTTGCCCCAATGCATCAAAGCGTCGGCTGAGTGGTGCAATGAATTCTTGAGCTTCTATTGCCCCGGATCCATCAGCATCTATCATGTCGAAAAGTTGCTGGAGGTCGACCTCGGCTTGAACGAAAAACATCATTGCCAAGCACGTCAACACCAAAATTACTGAGATCGATCCAACCGAAGAGCTGAGCAGAACTGAAACAAGTGCGACCGGAGCGAAACGCCCCTTTTACGCTGCGAACTCTTGAGCCTTGTAAGGCACGGTATCGAGGATGCCTTCACGTCCAATCCTGAAGAGATCACTTCGGCAACGTGGACTTACTCGACTTCTCCACTCATGAATTCAAAGCCACTTAGTGGCATTCTATCTAGTTCTTCTTCATCTAGCTGTTTTCACCACTTCGTCTTGCTTTTCGTCCTCGCCTTCACCTTGCCATGGCCTTTGATGTAAGGCTCGGTTCTTCACTTCTTTTTGATTATTTTCCTTTGCCGGTGTCATTACTTCGCTTTGCCTTGTTCATTCCTTTGCATTTCTTTCCTTTGCCTCTCTTTCCTTTGGGGTTTTCAACTTTGCTCTCTTCTTCGTATGTTTCTACACGTGGGCTTGCTGCTTCTTCTCTTTGCACTATCCGCTGAACATGTGGCCGAGGAATTCAACCTCGTCATTTCCAGGGCGTCCCATGGCACCGTAGTTCACGCTCAACCATCCATTTCGCCATCGTGGTTCTTCCACGAGGCAATTCTGGTCACTTCCTTCACATGGAAGATGTACTGTCTCATTGTCATAGACCAGATGTAGTTGGCGATTAATGTATCTTTTCCTCGCTGTAGGCCCCCCTCTCTGACGAATGAAACACCGCATGAATGTATCAATGCCATCTTGCAATGCATCATCTGTAGGGTCTTGCTTCTTCATTACTCTGTACTGCTTGTTCTTCTCAAGCAAGTGGACTTCAATGCCTCTGCCTTCTGCAATGAGTTCAAACACGCAGTCATCAATTGCAGTGTGACATTGGATTCAATGTTTTCTTCTTCTCCTCCTTCATTCTTCTTCTCTGACGCACTTCTTCTGCTCCAAAGCCCGCCAAAAACAAAGCTATCTCACTCGAAATTCTTGCCTTCGCTGGATCTTTTGATCCTCTGGCTGCCTCTCTTTTTGGCGGTCGATTGTCTTCATCTTCTTCACCTTCAAGGCACGCCATGTTGATCTGCGCGAAGCTGGCCACCTTCACTCAATCCTGGTGGGTCTCTTTCTTCCTCTTCATAGTCTGGGTGACCAGGCGGCTGGCAATCCAGAATCACCAGCCCCTGAGATCGATCCTATCCCTTCTTGCGTCCCACTGGCCCTCATCGTTCTTTGAAGTCTCATTTCTTGCTGGTTTCTGACCAACGGCGCGAAAGAAATCCCATGAGTTCTGGAATCTTACCAATCGTTCATCCATCTTCCACATCATTCTCAACAACACTCCAACGCCAATGTGCATGAACAAAACAAGCATGCGAAGCAGCCCCATGATGATCTGCTCCAGGCTCACAACTTCTGCTCCATCCTGTGGAAATGCTGGACAAGTCATCCCCATGGCCTGGCCCAAGGCTATATTGGCTCTTGTCAGCTTTCGCTAACTGATTTGACGTTTTTGACGCTGATGGAGGTCCCTGATCAACTGAGATCATCCTTCTCACCGCTTTCAGAGCTTGTTTTGCTTCTTACTTTACTTCCTTGGCTTTAAAATCTTTAAACTCGTTTCCAAGCTCCTGGCTTTCATCCTGAAAGACCATCAAATAGAGCAACCTTCTCACTCTTCGTCCTGGAAAGATCTTCGCGCCTGAATGCACAATATTCATTATCGCGTCAATCCTCCTGAGCTCTAACTCACGACCCTGCCTCTTTCGCAACCAAAGAAGCCTCCCTGAAAGATGCTTGATTTTGCAAACACCTTCTTTCTGTGCAATGGCAACGCTCGAAGAGTTGTGTGAGGTGTTCGACTGCCGCTTTCACAAGCAACCCTTCTGAAGCGCCTGAAACTAAAGCAACATATTCCGACTCTGCGCTGGACAACGCAATGCGCTTCTGTGTTTGTGAGCACGAATGCGCCAAGTGCCACCAACAAAGATGCACCTGCAAGAAGTCGAGCTTCTACTCCTCTTGTTGCCTGACCCGTCTGAAACACATCTGACTTCAACCAACAACTTCTCATCATTCATCTTCTTCAGACACTGGAACCATGGTGGTCAGGCCTCTTGCTCGCCTACCTCTTGCTCTTCCCCTAACCGACCTCAATGGATTCTGGCCTGGCGACTACATGGATCTCTGGCGTTGCCGAAGGGCAACCAGCTAGTCTCACCAGAATCACCCACGCACCTTCCTTTGGAAGGTGGGACGCAAGTTCCTTCACAAGGTATTGCGCACCTAGGCGATTGCCGGAAATACAGAGAGCCACGCGCCAACATCGCTACGAAAGGCACTGGCGCGTTCGTCACCTGTCTGTCATCCACATCCCGCGTCAACACCTTTGTCTTCTTCGCTGGTTCGAATTTTGTCAACATATTTGCCTTGAGTCTCTCACAATGGTCCCCTTCAAGAAGTTCACTGTTGATCCTTCTTCAACCGATGCCATGAACAATCTCACCAGCTGATCAACAATCTTTGCCAACTGTTGCGGTTAAGTTCACCTCCAAGAGTCATGTCGTCTACGGGCACTAAGGGGATCACACCATCACCTCTCCCTGGAACCATTGCGTTGCACCTTCTCTTTGTCCAGGAAGGACTCGACCAAGGGTCCACTCCTTTGGTAGGTCCAGACGCTCTGCCAATCTCTTCCCAAGGACACTTTTACCACGCTGGGTTGCGCACGCATGAGGTATGCATCTATGCATCCTTCACGTCCATGGTCATCATCTTCCAGCCTCTGACCTGACAAAAGGAAGTCTCCCAACAGCCAACTTCGAGCCGGTCATCATCATTGGCTCTTTTGACTTTGGCCAAAACTTGTTTACCAAACATTGCAACCTTTCCACTGTATTTCCGACCGTCCTCATCTCATAGGCTGTTGCTCCACCGCCTTGTCGCCTGTAGTGTGCCAAAAACCAACTTGCACGTCAAAGAGCCCAAAGAAAGATGCTTGATTTCACGTGACACCCTTCTCCCAAGCTCCTCACCTAGAGCAAATTCCGTCTGGATCTCTCTTTCAACATTGCTCTGTGAGTCACGACGGCCACTCAACTCCAACCGTGTGAAATCCTAGCCAAAGTCGTGAGCCCTCCGAAAGCATTCTCATTGAAGGTTCACCGTCACCCTTCAAAATGATCCTGGGGTATCCCGAGCCCCCAACGAAACGAAGCACCTGCTCAGCCATGAAAGTGAGCCCGGCCAGTTGGGACCGGCAACACTGCGCTTGACCGAACATCTGTGACCATCAACGCTACTCCACCCCGCACATCTCCTTAAAGCATTCGCAACGAAATTGTAAGCGTGTCTGCTTTGCCTTCTTGCCTCTTCGCATTGGTGTCTTTGCAACAACCAGCAAAGAACCTTCTTTCGACACGTCGCCACGCATTCTGGAATACCCCAGCAGGTCCATGGACCGGCAGGAGCACTCAAATACTATTTGCTGAAATTGACTTGGACTGTTGATGTTTCTGGCGTGATTCATGCTCAGGCCTTTGTACAGCTCCATTTGCTGCAGGCCAGTTGGGATCGGATCATTTTGATTTGGGTGACCCTGATTGCTGATAAGTTGAATACTGAATACCCGTAAGGATTGTCACAGTCTTCCTTTGATAGATCGCTCTTTGACGCTGGTCCAATTCCACAAATTGCCGTAATCAACAATTCCATCTTGCCAGGGAGATCTGGCTTACCCACAGGAAATTGGTTTTTGACTTGAACATGATGAGTGCCACTCAATCCTTCCGGTGGTGTATGAGGACCCACACCTGGAGACGCGCCAGGCAACTCTTGATCTTTTGCCACTTCTCCCGCCCCTGTCTGACACGCTGTTCAAGGTGACGGCTGAGATAGCACAATTTGCCCCGTCTTCTACACCGATGGCAGTGCCAAACCAGCTGACCTCACTCGTCATCGGACAGCAGCATGGGCTGTAGTTTGGCAACCCAGCATGACCTTGGAGCAGAAATCCGACTTCCTACAACAGACTTTGGACCGTTTGTAGGGCGGTTGAACAAGCCATAATATACACAGACTCGGCATACGTATATAATTAGCTGCGCAGCTAAACTTCGTCATGCACCAGACCCCAATTACAGTATGACTTGTTGCAAGAGCTCTGGCAACACCTCCAGCGAGGGTCTTATGGTCTTTCCAAAGTGGCAGCGCGTGTGACCCTCCCCGCAGATGCGCCGGTAGAGCTACTACAGTGGCATGCTTTAGGGAATGACATGGCCGACGTCGCTGCAAAGGAAGCTCAGAAAAGTTACGCCAACCTTGGCCTCCTGAGTGAGTCTGGACAAGAGCATCAAGCAGCTCTCGCACGTGTCCAGACGCAACTCCTGCTTGCGGGAATCAGATGAGGTCATCAACAAGGCCCTTGTCACAAATGTTCAGGATATTCACGGTCCCTCATTAATTGGACGATCTTGCGCCCCTCAAGAGCACCCACATGATGTGGGAATCTCGTGCCTGAGCTTGTGATGCATTTTGTTTGTGTGTGTGGGCAAATTGCCAAAAGTAGCTACTTGGGAAGATGGCAAAAAGGTCATCCTTGACCTGACAGGTGACCGGCAAAGATCGATGTCTGATTTAGCGTTGGGGCAGATCACCAGGTCGTTTCAGCAATTGCTTGCAGTCATCCAGAAACAAGCTACAGAGCAGATCCTTCCTTGGGACCATAAAGGCCTGGCTCGTTCGGCGTACCTCTTTGGGTGCCAAGGCCCATCTGGCAGGTTTCCGCTTTCGTCCTGTGCTGCCTAAAGCAGAAGAGCTCACAAAGCTTGTTCGGGCCATATTTCAGGAAGCCAATCCGGGAGCGCCAGGCTTTCCAGACCTAGCTCTCGATGAATTCACCCCCTTGGTGAGGGCGCCGCCGGCGGACACTGACCACTTGTCCCAGGCCTTTCGCGCTCGACAGTTCCGCCGTTGGACTTGCTTCTGGCCGAAGTGCCGGGGGCTTACGGGAAAAGGTGCCTTTGAAGTGTGGATCTTCTTTTCCTCTGGCAGCCACACAATGATTAGGCCAGTGCGTCAGTTCGTGCGCCTGCCTTTCTGACCTGCTAAGTATATAGGCGTTCGAGGAAGATCTGTTCTTTGATTTCTTCTGCGTCAACTTTTCTCTCGCCATGTCCAAGCCCAAGTTCTCTGCAAAGTGGCGTAGTGATACACCAACTTTCTCCACGTTTCATCTTTGTTCTTTCCGCGTCCAAGGCCACATTTCTTCAATCCTTCTCTGGTTTTCCTCAGCGACGAATCCTCTTTGTACGACCCACCCTCAAATCTCAATCTCGTGGAAATGGCCTGCCCTTGTCCTTGCCTTTCACTCTGTCAACATCCACTGGCCATTGGCACTATATCTTGATGTGGTTCTTTCTCCCGCTTGCCAATGTCAAGCTCTGTGTAAAGAGCTTGAGAAGTATACCGTACACCGCAGTATACCATGATGTTGTTCTTTCAACTGACAGAAGCCTCTAGTCATGTTTATCAGCATTGGCCGTGCTATCGCAGATTCTGAGGCATCACACGCAGCAACACTGAAACCTTGGCGTCGATACTCCTCAGCCAACCGCCCTTTAAGCCAAGGAGCTGCTCGCAAAGACCGGCTCCCTTGTCTTTGCCAAATGCAGGATGAAACAGGTAAGCTTGCAGCATTGCAATCGTGACAGCAAGCGCCAAACCTCCAATCCATTCCTGCCCTCCACTGATCTGAGCAACTTCAATGGCCGACGCTTCAACAACCCAACGGGGATGCTGTGCAACTGCTCTGGCCTGTCATGGCGCTCTTGGTCCTGGTCCATCTCCATGAAATCCAAAGCCGTTGATTTCTCAGCTTCATCCAGGTCTTTCTCATAGGCCTTGTCAGCAAGCGCCAACCATGACCTGAAATTCATCCGCCAATCTTGCCACTGCATGATCTCTTCTTCACCATTTGTGGGCGCAAGAAGAGGCTTCTACACCTTGTATTGTTTGCTCAGCAAAATCCGACCCCTTTGCCCTTCTCACTGTCTTCTTTCATGACTCCGATGACAGCTTCGGCCGACTGCTTTGGGCCTTCTACCAAGGCCTGCAATGCCTCAGGCATCACCTTTTCTTTGTTCTTCACCTTTCAACCCTCTTTCCCTTTTCTTCTTTTCACCACCTTAGGTCCCTTCAGACCTCCCCCGGTGCCTCCGCTGCCACCAAAACAAATGCAACGAAACGTGCCCTTTACCCTGCAAACTCTTGAGCCTAGAAAGGCACGGTAAAAGAGGTCCTGACAAGTTCAGCACACGTCTGTCAAAAACTATGCCGTTTCACCAACCGTTAAATGATGCTATTGTTGTCTCTAAGAAACGAACCCTCAGAAAAATAGCTAGGAACTACTCGCGCGCACAGGCAAGTCTTCTTGCACTGCAGTATTTCAGTCGGCTTCCAGGCCTCATCAATGTCCATCACTCTCAGCCGGCTTTGAAACTCAGGATCTTGACCTGACGTTCTGCGATTCTTCTTGCGCAGCTTGACGCACAGAGAGAGCCGGGGTCGATGTTTCTCATATGTTTCCGAATGCCTTTGGGACCGTTTGGATGGTTTTTCCTACTGATGTTGGTTGCCATTGCGTCGTGTATGTTTGTTTCAACTGTTGCGGTAGGCAGGCGAAAAAAATACAAAGCGCAGTTTGGTGGCCATACCGCCTTAGAGCTACACGATGTTGTTTCCGGAGATGTCCAATGGAAAATCGTTTACAAAAAATCATCAGGCGGGCGATTTCTGAAAAGCCTTGCGGGGAACTCATTGGAAACCACCAGATTCTGCTAGCAAAGGTTTCTGCGCTCTCCCTAAACGCATCAGTCTGATTTAGGCCAGGTCGCGGGCACCATCCATCAGATCTTGTAACGTCAGTTCGCCATCGCCCTTTTTGTCCAAGCGATTGAAGATTTTTTGCAGGAATTTCCTGCACATCACGCATGATCATTCACAAATGGCGGCGTGCGTGTCTGCCGCCGTTTTGTTGGAAGCAAAGGCAATGAATATCTATATTGCAGCACGCCTTCCCTGCATTCCTTGGTGGTTTTCGTTGGGCACATCTAAACAAAATACACCGCTACTGACTACTACAAGCGGCGTACTTAAGTCAACCCACATCGCGTGAAGTCGACTCACTGCATGGGCACAAGGTTTCAGCGAGAAGTCAGCCCACTCGTGTGAAGTCGACTCATTTTGGTCAAAGCACAATGGGCACACTTGAAAAATGAGCATGGCGCGAAAGCGACATGTTCAAGGACACGTGTGCGCACACTGTGTTATGGCTGGCATTTTGCCCTGCTTTCTAGATGCTTCAAGCCCGTCTCAATGGCACAGCACCATTCACACCAATGCGCAGCTTAGAGAACAGATTGCATGCGCACACACAAGTGGCGCCTCTGCGCGAGTCCCGCAAGACGCAGCGCGAGGTTCGCGCGCGCTTGACTCCTGTAGTCGCCCCAGCAGCAGCAGCAGCAGCAGCAAACCAGCCACCAGCCAGCACAGCAACAACAACAGCATCAGCAAACCAGCAGCATCGGCAGAAGGCCAGCTGGGCCCGAAGATCCTTGCTTCACCCCTGTCGAAGCTGCCTCATAAATACAAACGAGTGACAATCAGGCACACCATGGGCACAACACAAGAACATGTGTTATAGATCCATACAATCTATGCTTAGGCATCCCTGTGAGGTGCAGTTCTGCAAGGGCACACGGTTCCGAGTCAAGCTGAGTCGACTTAAGGCTAGTACCTAGTAGATAGTAGGAAGACCGCTATGTATTCAATATTGCACGTCTGCCTCTACGGTTCCCTGCGCAAGAGCGCACAGGCCAGTCCTGTCTTTCTTCAAGTTGTGGTCCAGCCTCAGCCAGTGACAGGAAACCCAGACCCCCGGAGGTCAGGTAGGAAAAATCTGATCAAGACTTTGCAAAAAACTTTACCAGTGTGGGCGCTGATCATGTATCCTGCGACTTCTGTTGTAACTTATCTTCTCATTTCTTGGGCATAACTGGCCCGCAAAAAAAAACGTCAGACCCTTTCAAGCCCAATGCTGCATGCTGCTTTGCGGCTCTTGGGCCAAGTTCATCACGTCGCTCTCCCTCACCTCTGCAAATGTGTCTACCACAACAGCAACCTCAGATTGCAAGGCGCTCCGCGCATGCTCCGGCCACAAAGGGACTCACAAAGTAGTCTCGCAGAAGGGGAAATCGCACAGGGGCCTCGCAGTTTCTCAGAGCTTCGCCGCTCCGGTCCGTTTCTCGCAGCTTGCTTCTCACAGTTTCGCAGCTCCGATCGTACTTTCTTGACATTCCTTCTACACGCAATGTGAACCACTACGGGCCCAACAGCTCAAAAAACACCGTGAAACCGACAACTCGAACGCAAAACCATGCAAATCACGCTGGAAACGCCCAGCTGTTCAAAGCCCGTCCACCGGAAGAGACTTAAAGGGAAGGGGTGTGGAACCAACCAACATTGACAAGCGAAGGCAAAAACATGTTACTGAGACTACGCCCCGCCGGGCATCAACTAGAGCCCCGCTCGCTGTATTGGCAAAATGCCCGGCATCCCATCTGCAGCCCGGCAGAAATCTCGAACCCTTGTCGAGATATCCGAAATGATGCGCGTGTGCATGCAAGTTTGTTGCAAGCGGAACATTGTTGTCGTCGGTGTGGGCTACATAGGCCGCACCTGTTCACCTTTCACTGATCGCAAGAGGTGGAAAAGCCGACGGTCTGGCTTCAAATCATGGTCTGACGGGCAAACAGTCTTTATTGGCAAAGGAACAAATGAGATGTACAATGATATACACTACATGGAAAAAGGTCACATCGCGCGGACGAAAGTTCTGAGGACCAAGTTGGCATGCACTCCAGCACTAGTCACTATGTCCCAGCTTCTGTATATATACTTTTTTTTGGTTTGTTTGCTCTTGCACCTTCAGGAGCGCCTTTGCAGGAACAAACTGCCGAGCAATGGTCTGGGCATGGTGCTGTCTCAGTTTTTTACATTTAGTCGGCCCCACCTCCACCAGAAAAGTTGAAGGTTATGTGGCGGAGTTGTTTCAACCCATGCGTTTCGGACGTCTAGCGCTGAGAGCTCTTGTAGGTGCATCGGGGCTGGGGGACAGTGCAGGGTGTAGAACGTATGCGCCCGTGCTTTCAGAATTTCAAGCTTCTCTCAAATACCAACCCCCTCAACAGCTACCTGACATTCAGGTGTGAGCCGTGGACCCTGACAACCAGATTCAATCTGAACCTGTGTGTCTTGCCTGCTGGAGCTGCCAAAAAGTTGCAACAAGAAAATTAAGTTGCAACCCCCAAGGAAACAAATGAAATTCGATTCTGAGCTGATGAAGTCCAATACAGGGCTTTAAAGCTGCAGCTGCCAATGCTGTTGAACTCTGAACGGTGCTTGCACTGGAGCGTGGTGGGCTTTCATCTGGAACAGGCCAAGGCCGGGCTTGCAACTCTGCAAGCTCAAAGCCTTCATCCCAAGCTACTCCTCACGTTCCACCGCCCATCCGGCAGCTGTGCAACCTGCAGTTTGACCATGGCCCGGCTCTCTGCGCCCATGTTTGTTATGAGTGGGCGAACTTCAACCTCATCCCAGAATTTTCTTTTGTCGGGGAGGTCTTGTTGCACTTCAGGTCGAACATAAGCCGTGGGGCATCGTGGTACAAGTTGAAGGCCCTCTGTGAAGGCAGTTCTGTTTGGGCCGCCAGCTCTGGGACCTTGCCGAGCGAATGGTCATCGCAATGCTAAATACGTCGCGAAAAAGTACGTAAGTGTTGAGGCCTGCTGCGGGTGGCCAATGACATCTTGTTTCACCGTAGAACTTTGAGGAAGCCTCAAGGCATGGCCAGTTGACGGCATCGCCGAAACACTGGCGCGTCAATATACGAATGCCTACACACATGCACTGCCCGTGAGGGCCTTGTAGCCAAGGTTGATCCAGAATGGTTTGAGCCACACAAAGTTTGCAGAGATCTTTCAAGTTTCTTGTAGTTACGAGTTGATCGTTTTGAAATCTTGCATGGATATTGTTGTCGTTGGTTTGGCGTGCTTCTCTCCAGGTGCAGTTCGGTTGGTTCCCCAGATCTTGTTGGACTATTTTGCAGAGATCCTCTATACTCTACACATGAGTGGGCCTTGTACAAACCATTTGTCAGGACTCCGGACATTGAATACCTTCGTGGGGGACTTCTTTCCATTCTCTTCCTTTTCCTTTCCCTTGGTCCCTACTGTTACAGTACTCATTTTGCGTCTTTCAAGGTAGCTCTATATGTAAACATATATTATATATATACACATCCCCACCCCTCAGTTCAATTGGCGCGTCTCCTCTTTGCTTGGTGTCTTCCTTCTTACGACATTCCTTTGCTTCCTGCCACGCTCCGTCCTTCCTATATACTCCTGTCCGTGAGTCTGTGAGCTTCAACAGCAGCCCAAAACTTCTGATCAACCAAAGCGCTTCATTGCCGCATATGTGAAAGCAAGCCCTCCTGCTCTGTGCGACCCAGCGGCGATGATGTTAAGGACTCCAAATACCAGTGTCATTAAAGAGCCCATAAATATAACCGCTGTCAACGGGTGTTGCTGGATCACCTTGAACGGAAACCGTGAACAAACGTATTTCCCATGTGACAACCATGCCATCACCCAGGCTTTGTCACTGAGGAGTGCACAGGCACAGCAATCAATCCCCAGCTATCGCCAGCGATAACCGTCTTGAACAGCAATAGGTTTGCATCCATCACCTCACATCCACGAGTGATTCTGAATTGCATAGGGCCTCCCAAGCTGAGGAAAAGGCTGATCGCGTAGCTCTTAAACATTGTGGCGCACAATCCTGGCGTAATCTCTGAAGAATGAGGTCATGTCACATCATGTCACATAATCATGCCACATCATACATGGTCTGTCACGCAAATTATGTAGGTTCTTGTGTCCTCGGCTATACCTAGGCACTCTCCGAGAAGCGTTTTGGCTGAGGCCCGCGGCAAGTTTTGGCACATGCCTCTGCTTTCAAGTGCTGTGGAAATGTGTTGAGACCAAACGACGTGCGGATTTAGCGCCCGTCCTGAAATATCTCAGGATTCTGTTGGTCAATCTCCATCAGCAACGGGTGCACGAGCTCCTTGGCTGAGACGCTGTGCAGTTTGCGGCACTGCTATAAGACCTTCTCGGCGGACTGGGTGTCGTATGTCAGCTCTGGAATCGAAAGCGTCATTGGGAACCTTCAACATGTCCGGGCTTGAGCTGTGCGGGTTCATTCCCGTAATACTGCATGCGTCTACTCAACTGGGCGACTTGAAGCATGCATAGGCATGCGCACAAACAAATGGTTGACCTTGGCAATCAGAAACTGGGGCCCTGGGGCGTGGAACAATTAGCCTTTTGTCGTCGTGCGCGGCCTAATTCTTGTGTGGGTGCCTGCCATCCCTGTGAGTCGGCTAGTGTCTCCCCACCTTCGACACCTTCGGTTACTCGACATTTTTTGAAACCAAAGCAAAACCCCCCACAAAATAGAAACCAAAAACTGCATCCTGACTTGGCGCTTGCAAACCCTTATCCTCCCCCGTGCACCCCTTCGTGCCGCCAAAGCGACCACTATCAGCATCGCCCAGATCGTCATGACTACGAAACAAAACCTTGATTGTCATGCAATGCAGGTTGCCAGATTGACTGTCCGAGGTGGCACGAACGATGAGAAACCTACACCGTCTACACAGTTTATACATATAAGTATGGTGTATATAAGGTATATATACATGTATATATATACACACATTCACCATGTATACATCCATTTTGCCTCGTCCGGTCCAAACATGGTCATGTCTGAGTCTGATGTGTAAGTTCCCTTTTCTTCCACACCGCATCTGCATGAAGAACCTCCTGACTCGTACGCCATGTGTTTGTCCTACTGTTCCGCCGTAGCCAGCCTGGGCCATAAACGCCCATCCGCCCCGTTAGTTTCGACTGTTTCCGATCACACACACATATATACACACGCACGCACGCACGCCAAGCACACACACACGAAATATACACGTGGCGAATATATGCGAATATGTTGCTAAGTTCGACCAAGGCACAGAAAGGACCACAATAGAGCCTCCACGGCTCGTGTAAGTTAAGTTCATAATAGTTCGTACATACACTGCGGGGGACATTGCTTGTGCCAACAAAATGTTTACTTCCTCACCGGCTCAGTGGTTTCAGTTGCGGCGCACCTGTTCGCCCACCCTGCTGCTAGAAGCAGGCAGCAGGGTAAACTTTATGAAGACTGTATACATATCCGCTGACCCTGGGCTAGGCCTAGACCATGCCTAGGCCGGGCGGCGCGTGGGATACCGAAGGTTGCGACTTTCGGCTTGTGGGTTCAGTTGTTTCTGTTTCAGCCGCCTACGCCGCAGCCCGAATCTGGTTTCAACCTCTTCAAGTCAGCTTCGAAGCTGCCGTCTGACATGCTTGCAGGCGCCGGATTAGAATCAATGTGGCCACATGTGGCCACAGAATTCCTGTAGGTGGGTCAAGGCCTGCAAGTTGCTGAGCCTGCTGATGGGCGGACATTTCAACGACATGCTGGGACAGGGCACTTGGAAGACCCTTTGCAAATGCGCAAAAGGAGTGCGGCAGGAACGCGGCAAAAGTACAAGGATGAGCCCTCAAAACCACTCGCTTCACATCTGAGACCGCTTCCCTCCTACACTTGCAGTGAGAGCGGAAGCCGCTGCGCTGCGACAGCGGCCAAGGACACCGTGAAGAAGCAATCAAGGGGCGTGGCGTGACAGCATCTGGGCGCGTTGCTGCTTTTTGTTTGAGCATGTTGAAGTGCAAAGTTAGTTCCAGATGTTTTTTTCGGCAGAGCAGGCCAAGGAAAGAATAAGCTGGCAGTTTGCCAAAGTGTGGGAAGACAACAAAGCTACACGAACAGAACACATGAGCACAGAAACTCAGAAAGCAGAAGCAACAAGAGCAGAAGAGAAGAAAACAGACAAGAACAGAACAGAACAGAAAAGAAGGATGCGGAAGAAAAGAGCAAAGAAAAAGCACACAACACAACTGAACAGCAGAAAACAGAACAGTACCGACGAAAAGAAAACAGAAGAGAAAAACAGCTAGATTTAGCTTCTGCCTCGCACAGCTAGGCTGGATTCCTATCTAGTTTTCTCCCTCGCACAGCCCCCTACCCAGGCCCAGGTTTTGCTTCTGCTCTCACACAGCCTAGCCTAGATTCCTATCTAGATTTCCTTTCTGCCATCACACACCCTAGGCTAGCTAGATGCACTTGCAGGGAGAGCCCAAGGACTCACCAACCAAATGCGTCGATTCGTGTGGCCAGCTTTTGTTTAACCAAGAAGTTGCGCTTTTGTCGCGAACAGTTGAGGAAAACACCAGCGCACTTGTGATCAAGGCATCAGGTTTGCATGTTGCCTTCAATTGCCCACCGTCACCTACGGGCACCACTTGAAACTATAGCCTAGTCAGGCAATGGTGTGATCGGTTTTTGTGCCACCAATTGACGAGACACCCATCGCCACATCAGCTCAATCTCACAGGCCTTCTGGGCGCCATGGCCAAATTGAGGCTGTATGAAAATTCCACAAGACAACCACAATGTGTCACCAAGTGCCACAGTCAAAAACCTATTTATATATATATATATATATACAGCTACAAGCACCTATAAGATCCTATATGTGTTCTGCTCCCGCCGACAAGACCCTTCTAAGCAATGTGCCGTCGCTGTCCGCAAGTTGCCCTGACAATGTGCCATGTGATCACCCTCTCTCCCTCTCCCTCTGTCTCCCTCGATCTCTCTGTGCGCACACGGTTCGCGGCCCACCCAATACCATGGTGACACTCTGAAATGTGCTCTGGATCGATTCTCGTCTCGTCCTCCTTCATCCCCTTGGAATGACATCTGGGATCACAAGACTTAGACCCTATTTTGTTATTCCCTACTCGCATGTCTTGGGGAAGATCCAACCCACAGCTTGTGGTTTTTGTTTAGTAGGCGACAACCCTCCAGCACGCCCGCGTGTCTCGCATGTATGTATGTTCTTTTATGCGAACTGGTTTAGAAATGCTGCAGCCAAGCATCCTTGTCTAGATTCGCTTCTGCGACACTTAACGCGCCGTTTTCTTTAGTCAAACAAGGGAGGAAAGCAGATGTAAACCTTGGACAACGATCAGCACACGAAAACTAACCCACCCTCCCTCCAAAGCAAAGCTGCAAAAGGCTGTTTTGGTTGGTTGCCTTCAGAGCTTCCATCATCCAGCTCTGCAGTTCATGAACCTCTGGTCATTGAACTTGCATTTCATACCTCACCTCTCCAAATGCGTCTATTTAACACAACGCAACGCTCGCGCTCGCGCCCGCGCATCGAACGACGAACGAACGAGTATCACCTACCTCAACCTCCACAACATCCTACTCACCTCACCTTACCGCACATCCCCAGACCACACGTACCTGCCCGTTCACCCTCTTGCCCACCTACAAGAGGCGCAGCACCTTTATTCCCTAGTCCACTTCGGGATCACGAGGGAGTCGGAGATGCTGCCTTCTTCGGGCACTCCGCGTTGGGATGTGCTGGTGAGAAGCAGTTCATGCACTTGTGCACTCGCCGCGCCTTTCCTTTGCAGTCGGAACCTGCTGGGGAAGTCCCGCGCATGGTCCAACTCCTTTCGCCCAACTTTTAACAAATTTCTTGTCCGGCTTGATCTTTACCTTTTCCTTTGCCCTTACCCTTGCTCATCTCGCCTTTTGGGCGTTGCTCACGAAAGTTGTCAAGTTCTTCACGATCTGACGCCCAACGCTTTCTCTTCGCCATCCGCTTGTCCCTATTCGCTTGTCTTCGCCTCTACCCCCTGTCGTCCTCATCACCACGTTCTGCGGGAAGTCCAGGACGATGTGCCATCGCGATGGTTTCAGCTGGAGGTCGAGGCGAGCCATGTGCCCCGCTAGCCAGCCATGCAGCAGCTGGGTGGCGCACTTGCTCATTCCAAAACCTCTCATCCAAAGCCAAGGCTCTAAAACACGCCGTCCATGGTTCCTCCTCGGTGAACTCCCGGGGGGGTGTCCCGCCTGCCGCTATGTCCAACACGATGGCCCTTCGAGTCTTCTCTAGTTTCTCTGCCCTCGCTTTGCCGTCGGCTTGAACAGTCAAGCCCCAAGCTTTGGGCCACTGCAACACCAGCTTTTCAATGACCTTTTCGTACAGGAGGAGGGCGGCAAGGGTCACCAAGTTTAAAGAAACACATGCCACTTTGAAAACCCTCCAACTGACCAACCATTGCTGCAGGTTCTGGGGACCAGGCACCTCCTTCATCACAAAGGACCCGTCTCCTATCGGCAGGAAGGCCCTGAATTTCTGGTTCTTCAACACTCTTCTTCCGAAGGGCAACCACACCGAGAAGTCTACGTAGGGTGGCTGCTTCTGAACACGTACTCTATGATGTAGGGCCGCAAGCTGTGCGTCTGTGGGTTCTTCTTCTTCTTGAGGAGGGGCACCCATCACCGCTATGCATCTTTGAGCCCATTCATTCAGCATGACTGCATCAGGCAGCTTGGTCTCAGAGTCGTCCGTCTGATCCACGATGTTCGACATCTTGAGCACGTTGTCCTTGCTTCCGCTCGCTGTTCCCCCTGGGCCTGGAGGACTAGCTGGAGCTCCAGCTCCCAAACCTGTACCATCAGGAGGTCCCGCATGAAGGTCTGGTGTCCAAGGGTCACGGTCCACGAAGGCATCCGGGCTACCACCTCCACGTAGGTGTATCACCCATCTTGCATTGCGCCATACTAACCCCACCTGAGCCGCTTGGATGGGGGGTCAACCTGTCGCCACTGGCCAAAGTAGCGGAGCCCACAATCTGAGGGATCGTCCAGTGAGGCATTGCTGCAATGAGCCTCAAGTCATTCCCCGGGCCGCCGGCAGTCGCAACAAACGAATCCCACAAACCATCAGGCACATTCAAGCGATGCAGGAGGTCCGGGATCTGGTGAACCTCCTGGGCGTCCGCGAAGGCCAGCAAAACCATGACCCATCCGCGGCACGCGCCCTCGAAAACAAACCTGTGGGCCTTGAGCCCACCTGACTTCAAACAGGGAGGTACACATTCACTCCCTCCCACCTCATATTTCTAAAACCGCTGGCCTTTTGTCCCTCAGAACCTTTGGTTCCTCTACTACCAGCGCGCAACTACAAAAAAGAGGGTCAGCGGCACAAGGACGTTTGCCCATTCTTTACAGAATGAAGAATGGGTATATGTACATATGTATATGCAAACCTATGTGTGTGCACATCACGCATGATCAAACGATTGATGGCTGTCAAAATGACCCCAGGCTTCAAACTTCAAACTCGACTTGCCGCCAATGTTACTGTAATGTGACGTGCCTTGAAGCAAGTCGCTAACATTGTCACGAGCTTCTGCAGCTCCTACAGCGCCAGATTCGTTCGAAGGGCATGATTCCAGTTGTCTCTTCCTGTCGAAACTCCTTGAGAGACCTGGTTCTTCGCAGTAATTGCATCAGCCGCACAATTCCTCGGAAAACCAAATGCAAAAACTCAGCTCTGCTCCAAGGGAGACCGAAGGGAGCAGTAGAGACCGGTGCCTTTTAAGACACCCAATGCTTCAGGGATCGCCGAGCATCGAGCAAGACGGAGCATCCGTAAGACGCTGAATTTGTCCAGCAAGTCATCGCCATCAGTGCCACCCGAACTGTTGTCCACAATATGTATCACCACTTCAGCATATCCACACATGATGATAACCTAAGCAATGGATCGCATGTGCTCTATTTCGGAGTTTGGTTGCAAATTGGAAAGCAATATTCCCCCTGTCATCCGAGCTGCTATATCAAGTATCACCATCCAGTCCTTCAGCAAACGCTTGCCTTTCGCAAAGAATAGTATAGGCAGCTCACATGTGTACAAGCAAAGGCAAAGATCGGAGAAGGTCCTTGGTTGGAAGGGGTGCTCATGGCATCACATGCAACGCACAAGACCAAGTCGACGCGGAATACCTGGAAATTTTGTATGTAGAGATCGCTTGGAAGCAAGGGTCAGAACCACTGGCGAAGTCGGAATATGCAGAGCTCTGTTGTCTATATCAATGGCAGTCAAGTAGGAATCAAACACAACCACCAACGCCAAGAAATTTGCTGTGTAGTTACCTGCAGCCAAGGCAAACCCTCTTTGGTGATATAACATGATGCACTTTAAGTTTTAAACCAAAAACTTTGCCAGCCTTCGACTAGGAAAACTGCAATCTTCTTGGCCCGTCCATACCAGCTGACATCTTCGACAACTACCTGCACTGCTCAAGCATGAGGTTATGCTCTTCAAAACACAGCGGCTCCATGGAATAAGTGACTGAGTCTAGTCGTAGCCGCAACCGCATGCATCTAGCGTCATGTCCTCAACTTCAAAGTGCGTTCAGGTTTGCAAGACAACAGAAGAGGGCTGGGTCAAACCTCAGGGACCTGCTGACCCCACAAAATGAATGAAATGGACTGCCAGCAATGCTTTGACCTCACCATGTCTTTCTCTCTCTCTCTCTCTCATGATTCAGTCTATGATGGAAACCAAAAACAATACAGTATATCAGGCACATTGCACAACATTTGGGACCTGGAGAAGCTCAAAGCTTTAGGCCTTGTCCTCCTTCTTGCTGACAATGAACTGACCCATGCTGGGCGATCGCTTTCTCATGCCAGGGGAAAGTGATGTCCTTGGCGTTGGAGAGCTCATCCCCCTGCCAGACAAATGTGGGGCACGAAAACCAAACCCTGTCCTTCCTACGGTTTTTGCACATTTTTGGAGTGGCACCTTGCCATCTTGTCGGTTCCAAAATCTCTGACCTGACTGTTTTGAAGAAAGCAGCATGTGGCATATTGATATTCTCAGGCCCTGCCTTGCAAGCTGGGTACTTGATTGGCTCGTGGTTCCATCCGCACCTCCTTCTCCCGGCTCCCAGGATGTAGGGAGCTGTATCTCCAAAAGGCACTCCCAGTAGCACTGTGTTTTATCGGTTTTATGGCCAAATCCGAAAATGAGAAATGGTCCAAACTATCTGCCTCAATTGTTGCAGCATTTGACTCCTCATGTGTCGGCCCTTTGCAAAAAGTGACTCAAAGTGTTCAGCAAACCTTGTAAAACAAAATACGGGCATCTGAAAATCAGCCGAAAACCCATGAATGTCAATAAGGCATTACATTTAACAATGAAACACATAGACCATAGACCTGTGTAAGCATGCAGTTCTCACGCCCAATGGCATCTGGAAACATCTGAGGGCATTTCGTAGGGCTTAGCTTGGCCACAAGGGAACTGCAATGGCCAACTCACATGCACTGACCACAAGACCGGTAGATGTCAGTGTCACTGCCTGCTGGCAAAGAACATCATCCGATGCAGGATCCATTGCAGCATGGCAGGAGCGCTTTGCGCACGGGGACTTGGGCCCAGTTGGCTCAAAAGGCAAAAGGCATGCCAAATGCACCTGCAACAAACATCCAAACGCAAGCCTTTGGGGTTTCTCCCACCTGCTGATCTAGCATGCCAGTGTGAAGTTCATTTGCATCGCAACACTGACAGGCACTTCACTCCAAAATCGGCTCAGGTCACGGATCCTTTACTTTGGCCGCATTGGCTGCCTCGTCGGCCTCGCTGGCCTTATGGGTGACAGAGTGACTCCACGACTTTCCGAAGTCGACCTGCACCAGCTTGTGAGAGTTTGTGTGCAAGTCTCCGGTCTTTGGATCTGGCCAGACTTGTCCAGGATTCCATTTTTGCCCCTCAAAAACCGAATGAACGGAGTCTATTTGTATGCTTTGATGCCAAAAGCTTCTGATAGTTTCTGCTTTGCAGGCAAGGTGGAACAATGAGGGCCACCGTTGTGGCGTTGCGCACCCGAAATGTCCAGGTCCAAAGAAGCATGAGCAAGCTGGAGTCAACAATACTTTGTTTGTGAGGTTTAAGCAGAAGTAAGGGACGCAATGCCATCGGCACAGTTTGCCAAAGCCCCGGCTTCTTGCAAAACAAGTCTCCGTAGGGTTAGCTGCCAGTGTGGTAGGCGCAGGCTCTAGGGCGAGTCCCTGAGTCTTGATTGCTAGCGTCACTGCACACTCAACGGTCTGGAACAAATCCCAAAGATCAAATCACGTTTTGTCACTAAGCGCTCCACCGGAACCCCCCCGTCCCATGCAAAATGCCCGGGCCCGAAAACCGTGCTTCATGGGGTTGCTGGCTCTCAATCGTGGAAAGTAAGTTAAGGTGCACAAAGCCGTGTTGCATGACCACAACTGCTAAATCGGCAACTTGGAGATTCTATTAGACGACGCAGCTCACATGGCTACAAAATGCCCATGTACACTGCTTCCCCCTTGCACCTCCTCCGATTTGATCGCAGGAATGCGTGGAGGTGCCCTGAGCCAAGGGCTGGTCTAGGTCTGGATCTCCCTTGTGCGGGAATGATTCAAGAAGCATGCGCGCCCTCTCTCTCCATATATATATATATAGTGCTAATATAATGCGCGCATTATGTATATAATCCGTATATCCATGTAGTCTAAACAAACGGGCATTACTCCTCTCCATCACAGCATCTTCAGCCAATTGTGAAAAATCCATGTGCATCTGTTACCCCCTTTGGCATGATTCTGCACTACCATCCTTCCTATTATCTATCGGAGCAGGTCCTGACAAGCTGCTCCGCACCAAAGTTGGGAATGCCATAGAAGTAAAGAAATACAAAGCCTGCGATCACGTGTGAACGAACTGAGCTTGACTCTGAATGTAAACTCCCGCCAAGGCCGCATCTTACCCGGCCTATTGAGCCTGGCAAGAGGGAGATGGTGAAGAAACTTGGTTGCCATCCGAAACTTTTCCTCTTCGACATTGGCCATGAAAAGTACACCTCACGTTCAGGCAGCCACAAATCTAATGGCTGGGCCAGTCAACTTCGTGCAAAGTGCAGTCAGTCGTACCATCATTGCTTGAAGGTCTTAGAAGCCAAGGTTCAAATCCTTATTGAAAAATGGGTTCATGAATTATGAATCACGGTTTGTGGCTCATGACTACTCGTGCTTGCCTGACTACTGAATGTGTTCATTCCTGTTCATGTACGTTCCGCTAGTTTCTTGAACCGTATGTATGGGATCCAAAAGGTGCTTATTGCTCACAAGGCAACGCTGCGCTAAAAAAGAGGCGTCAACTTCAACTCCGGTAAACTCCTTAGGTAAGTCTGAAGCTTGTGCCACATTGCCTGCCTGGATTATTGCATCACTTGCGTCCTCGAATGGCTTAGAGTGAGCTTGTTGCAATCTAGTCCGAAGACTCGTCCGATGGAAAGATCCAAGAAAGACTCCGATTCCTGGGATTTTCATGACGAGCTCCTAAACCTACACCTATCCATCGTGCATCGTATGTGACATGCCACTTCGAGTGTGATAGTCATGAGTGTCTATGACTGTGTGTGTGCGTCTCTCTCTCTCTCTCTCTGTGTGTGTGTAACCGTGACAGTGCGTTCCGCTTCTTTCAGGGCTTTGCAGTTCAGACCGGCAAACTTGAGCCAAAGGCTTTCGGCAACGTCTTTCCCATGCACTCCAACCATGGCTGCGGTTAGTACTTTCTCACACCCTTCTCAGCTCTATGATTTACTGCACCTGAAATGGCACAAGAAAGCTTGCTTCCTGCTTGACATATCCTTGAATACCTGACACGAGACACCAACATCTGCTAGCAGCCCTTTCTGGCACAGTTAGCTGCTAGCTCTGTGCAACCCTCGCCGATTCCAACGACTCCGCTGCGCAGGGAAAACATCTTCGTAGACAAGTCAGAAAGGAAAAAAATGATGGTTTTTTACATCCACGTAAACTCCAGAGATCCCCGTGGCCTAAAACTTTCGCTGGAAGCTGTTGTGAAATCTGCTGAGGGCCAGCTCTGCTTCGCAGAGCTGAGTTGAAAATCTTCCCCTATTTGCAAGTCTAGTCTAGTTTTGGGACAGCTTCTTCTATAATTCAGATGCGAACACTTCTGGTCAACATGATAGAGCCGACGGATGGGCAGAGATTCATGAATATTCACCTTAACTTGAATTGAAGGCCTTTGGTTCCAGGACTTGCTGGATGGGAACGCTTTTCGTCGTGGTTATTTTTCGACTATATAAATCAAATTGACGGGCAATGCGCTCACAATCCAATGGACGAGCAGAAAAATGAGGAGCATCGCGTGGGAATAATGTGATGAAATGTTGCCCAGGCATCGTTGACTATCATTAACCTGCCGAGATGCCAAAGTTGCACTGGAAATGCAACATTGCCCGCAAAGCCACAGTCTGTGACTGCTGTGATGGCATGCTTGGCCGACTGTACTTGGCAGTCACACAGCCAAAACGAGCAAAAAAGGGTGTGGAAGGGTTGAGTTGGCTGGGCTAAGCCAGTCTCACAGGTACTGAGCTCACTCTGAGGTAGCTTTGGACCGGCCCCAGCGTCACCCACCGCTTCGCCGAGGATAACGCCCATGCAGACACCAGTGAAGCGCCGGGCAATGAAGCCATTGTCTCCAATTGGGTGCATAAAACATAAAATACATCTAGAATCTAGATTATGGATACAAAAAACACTGGATGCTCATTGCAGTTTCTGGGCGTCTGCCGAAGAAAGCTCTAACAACGGGTCCAGCTGCTTTCCGCTCTGCTAGCCACAAAGGTCTTGGCAAAGAAGTGAATGTGACATGCCAGCAGTACCCCTATCAGCTGACAGGAGTGCAACTGCATTTATGTTTTACAATTTATAATGTTTTACAATTTTTTGGTGGGCTGTCTAAATGGCAGGTGAGTGGGTTCTATCCACACCAATTGGTTTCAACCTCTACTCAACGGAATGTCAGGGTGCGAAAGGGCGAAAAAGCAGCAAGACACTCGTCGAATCCAGAACGGAGTACCCTCAGCCTGGTTCTTACTGACCTGCAGACTGTGCCCAAGAAACCCTGAAAGGCACAGCTTCTCAAGCACGAAAATGAGGGGTCTAAGTATGAACGAAGGATGACTGCGTCCTTTTCGCTTGCTGAACATCCTCTACCCTCGCCCACAGCATGTCCCATGCACAGCCACACCCAGTCCTGGCTCAATGCGGCTGTGCTGGCACCACATGGCCTTGCATAGAGAGCAGACTTTTGCTCCAACCACAACTTTACAGCCGTACTCCTTCAAAGCCGACACTCATCATCAGACTGTTTGCAAAGGTGACTGGAGTAAGCATATTTGTTGTTTTGCTTTGAAGACTGCAATGTTGTAGTCTTTTAGTGTCAATGTTGATGACTTCTTGCACACTATGGCCAGGGCAAATGGAGCCATGGCGATTGGTCCGTGGCGCCTAAGCACATCCAGCCAAAGGAAGTTGTGTCTTTTTAGAAGGCTAAAAAATCAACACGAGAGTGCATCGTTTGCCAATCGGAAGCGAACACATTCGACTGGCTTCCTCCGGCGATCCCTGTCGCCATCGTGCCTCGCGATCGCTGTCGCTGTCGTCAAGTCCTGATGAGCTGCTTCTGCTCTCTGCCTGTCGTGTGAGTTGAGGGCCTGGTGTTTGCAATCAAAACCATCCAAGAAATTTACAAAGCCCATGATACCAGTACCTTCAAAACTGGAACAACTATAGTAGAGGCCATAAACAAAAGAATGAATTTGCCTCCTGCTCCTGGCGGGCAAGCTGCATGCGTTCAACCAGCTCCTCACAAAAATATCATAGCAACGGAGAAAAAGGCTTCATTTAAGAGTCTCTACCGTATATAATGATGGTCTGAGTTACCGCTTGATATCGCTAGCGCCTGCAGTTGAGGAGGAAGCTTTCCAGGACCTGTTCCGTTGCCACTGTTTTGGCTCACCTCAGATGCCGCACCTGCTCTTGTGACCTCATGTATACAATCTGGTCAAAAAATGCACCTCAGAATGTTCAGTGATAGATGTCTACAAAACGCCATGTCTCTCTCCCTCTCTCTCTATGTACATATATATGTGTGTTTATACTGAGTTTGGCTGACTGCCTTATCCTTCTGTCATGGAAAGCCAAGAGGCATAGCTGACTATGGAGAAGCGGTGTAGCATGCCATTGCTCATGCGGCGCAATCCATTGAGAAACCTGCACGCATGCAATTCTGAATTGAATCCTAGAGTGCAAGCACCTGTGTACCCCCTGTCTGTCATGAGACTGTCAGAAGTTGTCTCTGAGAACTGGGAGTAAGTCTGCATAGCAAAGTGAGATTAATGCAGGTTTTACATGTAAAAAATGATAAAAACAATGCCTTGGAATATCAAACCATCGGAGTGAGTCTCCCAGGTCATGGCCTTGTAAAGTTCGGGCTCAACGGCTCAGGTTGGATGACGGTCCTTGGTATGCTGAGTGTGTGTGTGTGTGTGTCCATTGATTGTTTGCCGTTCTTTCATTCTTTCGTTCTTCCTTTCTTCCGGATTGCTTCAGTATGCCAGTATGGCCTTTGTTCTACTATGTTCTACTCAATGTCAGTGAATTCACCGGCACACCATTTGCAAAGAAATTGAAATCATGAAGAGCAGGTTGAGGATTTTCATATGCAATTGCCAACTGCCAAGATGCCCCAGGATCTCTTCGGCCATGCTCATAGCACTAGCAGCCCATGAGTACACATGTTCCTCCTCAGAGCACGTGAGGGTTTCACCGACTCACGTCATCTTGAAGCAGCATTAGGTCTGCACCGAGATTCATCGATCCAAATGTCAGAGAGCATCTCAGGAGCTTCTCGAAAATACCGCCAAAATTTCTTCGCATATGTGCGGACCTGTTCCAAGTTGGGGTTCATCTAGTTTCGTGCGGCATCAATTAAAACTATAAAGAACGCCGAAAGTGGGATTCAGTCTGTGTCCAAGCTTGCTGCACGTCTCTCCATGACATGCTTGGTCCAAAAATCCAAGATGCTGTCACTTCTTCTTTGAGGATGTCCTGTGAGTTGGAAACGCAAAGATTGTTCGTACTACCAATAAGGGCCTTATGCCAAAGGATTCTCACTGACTGAACCCTTTTTTGTGCACTATATACAGTAATTACTTTTCTACAAGCACATTATTCCGGAGGAATCTGCTATTGTGAAAGTCCTGCACTTTCAATGCGTCGAGGCAGACGAGCTCCTTACAACATGTCAAAGCACTCGAGTAAATCAAAAAGGGCGCGAACCTCTGCTCCGCCGTTCTACACAAATAAACTCAAAGAATGCAGTCACCGCTGCCTTGCAATAGTGCATATTAAGCATGCACATAACAATTACTATTCATTCGCAGGCAAACCACACTGAACAGGATTTGCCGCAAATGACAAATTGACTTGAACAGCTCGAAAGCAGCTCGCAAGAGCAAGATCACGCACTTGTTTCATGCACAAATTCAACACTTCCAGACTTGGCACTCAAGTATCTGAGAGCAGGCCGTCCACTTGGGCGACTGGGATTGATCTTATGCAGTAACGGCGGGAGGGGACGGAGGATGCTTGAATTGGACCATTTTGATCAAATGCCGCCCAGCTGCACTCTGAGAACTGCTACTCGCAGTGCCAACATGCTGCCATTTTAGCCATAGAGCTGGCTCAACCAACCAAGGTTGGGTAGTCGTAATGGCTTGATGCCTCGGAAACAAACACGCACGAAAAGGCACGAAAACCAAAGAGGACCAAAATGCTCCCTGGTCAAAAACCGAGCCAACGCTGCAGCTTGTGCTTTAGCATGCCCATTATGTCACTTTGTACATCTGGCACAACCCAAGTGAATCTCAAAAAAGTGTTTGGAAGTTCACCTCGACAGTTAACAGGTCAATTAATAGGTTTCAGCGAGTCACTCGTCATCATCGCGAGTATAGATCAGGGTACCCGAGACGAGGAAGTACATGTGTTTGCCTGCCTCTCCTGTGGTGATGAGCTCCTGACAAAACATGCAGAAAAAAAGAGAGCGGGGGACTGTGAGAGTGCAGTTTTTTAATTGCTCCCGAATGCGTAGCGAAGGGTTCCCGTTTATAGTTGGGGGTCTGGGGGTTGGAGCTGTGTTCGCGTGGCTTGCGTCGTCTCGTCGTCTGTCGTCGTCTGTCGTCGTCTGTCGTCGTCTCTCGTCGTCTCTCGTCGTCTCTCGTAGTCTGTCGTCGTCTGTCGTCGTCGTCGCGTCTCAAATTTGCTGCCATTGGGGGAAGCTTTTGCAAGTGACTGTGCATGGACGTGTCACGTGTCAGTTTGCGCCGCAATTCCACTTTGATTGGCATGACACCGACATGTCGCGCAAGAAACGTGATGCATTTCGCTGCACAGGCGCAGCGTTTTGTGAGATCCGCAGTTTGCTCGCAGTGCCATTGGGATTAGCGTTTGGAGAGTCGTGTTTTTGGGGTGTTGGATGTGGCCGTGCCATTGGGATTTGCGTTTCAGGGTGTGGCATCGAAGCTCTGTTTTCGTGACAAGTCTCAGCTGAAATGGCGATTTTGGTGGATGGGAGTGTGCTCTGAACGGGTCGAAATCATTCCAAACGTGTGGTGTGGTGCAAATTTTGTTGAAGCTGACACGCGATGATATTGTCACTTTTCGTGGCAGGCGCAGGACTTCGTGCGGGCTTTGAAGCGTGGAAGTGCAATTGAGCTGTGCTCAAAACGTGTGGCATCTGCCTATGTCGTAAGACTTTCCTTACGCAGCAGCTTACGCCTGGCTTACGCCACCACAATGGCAGCTTACGCGCACACTTTGCACACAAAGGGGCTTACGCAACACTTACGCGAACACAATCTTGCACCCGGCCACAGCGCCAGCTTACGCGCCATCTGTTTTCCAAGCAAAGCACAGCACACAACAGGTTTGTTACGTCCGCGGGTGTAGGGCAGTGAGAAGCCAGGATTTCGTAGATGGTCTGGACAATGCGTTGCCTTTGGCGCCATTGCGAGTCAGAAAAAGCCTGCTCTTTAGGAGGCATCGTGGGCCACCGTCTACAAAAGAGAGGGGGGCTTACGCGCAGCTTACGCGAAGCTTACGCGCGCCTTACGCGTTTTACCGACACCAAAACCGATAACTGCATGGTGACATAGTGTGTCTGACAACTGCTGGTAGACTTTATGGCTACGGGAGTTGTTTGTATGGCTATAGGAGTAATGTTTGCATGAGTCGACCCATAAAATCTCTGTCCTGATGCCTATGTCCTGTATATAAATGACTACAGGAACCCCAAGAACCCTTCTTTCTGTGGAGCCAATCACCTTCGACCATACCAATTGCCAAGAAAAAAATCCAATGCAAGGCTTCATCAACAAAGGTCTCCTATAATTTCCAAACATTTCAAGAATACATGTGACATGTATGTTAAATTTCGACTTGCTTACGCGGCTTACGCAAGTTTCATCTCACAAAAAACGCTTACGCAACCTTACGCACATCAGAGTTTTGCTTACGCGAAGGATTCATATGACAAGCCCACTACTAAACGTGAACAGGGAGGTTCTTAGCGCGGCTCAATTCTCGTGGCAGGCGCAGGGAACCGTGAGGTTGCGAGGTGTGAGGGAGGTGACATTTCGTGGCAGGCGCAGTACTTTGCGCGCGTTAGACGTGTGGATGGGGAAAGATTCGTGGCAGGCGCAGGGAATCGTGAGGTTGTGAGTTGTGGTAGAGGTGAATGTCGCTGTCACATTGGGATTGGCGTGTGAGCGGATGTTGTTTGGAGGGGCTGGAATCGCGAAACTGCTTGGCAGGGCTGCGTGATGTGTGTGTGCTCCGATGGGTGTTTCCGCTTGACTTTTGGAGGAAGTCTCGTACGAAACGCTCTTTTTGCAGACTTTGACGTGTGAGTTTTTGAGGAAGTCTCGTACGAAACGCTCGTTTTGGAGACTTGACGCACAACCCTCTGCGGAGATCGCGCAACACCAGTGTCCTACAAGAGTGTCCCACAAGAGTGTCCCACAAGAGTGTCCTACAAGAGTGTCCCACAAGAGTTTCCTACAAGAGTGTCCTACAAGAGTGTCCTACAAGAGTGTCCTACAAGAGTGTCGTGTAAGAGTGTCCCACAAGAGTGTCCTGCAAGTGACCCACAAGAGTGTTCTACAAGAGTGTCTCACAAGAGTGTCCCACAAGAGTGTCCCACAAGAGTGTCCCACAAGAGTGTCCCACAAGAGTTTCCTACAAGTGTGACCCACAATAGCGTCCTACAAGAGTGTCCTACAAGAGTGTCCCACAAGAGTGTCCCACAAGAGTGTCCCATAAGAGTGTCCCACAAGAGTGTCCCACAAGAGTGTCCCACAAGAGTTTCCTACAAGAGTGTCACACAAGAGTGTCCCACAAGAGTGTCCTACAGTGTCCCGCAACAGTGTCGCTCAAGAGTCTCTCACAAGAGTGTCCCTTAAGAGTGTCCGACAAGAGTATCCCACAAGAGTGTCCTACAAGAGTGTCCCACAAGAGTGTCCCACAAGAGTGTCCTAGAAGAGTGTCCCACAAGAGTGTCCCACAACAGTGTCCCACAAGAGCGTCCCACAAGAGTGTCCTACAAGACTGTCCCGCAAGAGTATCCTACAAGAGTGTCCCACAAGAGTGTCCCACAAGAGTGTCCCACAGAGTGTCCCACAAGAGTGTCCCGCAAGAGTGCCCCACAAGAGTTTCCTACAAGAGTGACCCACAAGAGTGTCCTACAAGAGTGTCCTACAAGAGTGTCCCACAAGAGTGTTCCACAAGAGTGCCCTATAAGAGGGTCCCACAAGAGTGTCCCACAAGAGTTTCCAACAAGAGTGTCACACAAGAGTGTCCCACAAGAGTGTCCTACAGTGTCCCGCAACAGTGTCGCTCAAGAGTGTCTCACAAGAGTGTCCCTTAAGAGTGTCAGAGAAGAGTATCCCACAAGAGTGTCCTACAAGAATGTCCCACAAGAGTGTCCTAGAAGAGTGTCCCACAAGAGTGTCCTACAAGAGTGTCCCACAAGAG